CATTTACTTTTAGCAAAATATAATGAATCGCATTATGCTATACTGTATGTCTCAGTATTCGTGATAGTTTGTAACAGGTAGACAACATTATAAATTAGAATTATAAATTATGTTTTACATATTTCTGGCGTAAAATAATCTTGACAGAACATGGTAGCTTAGACTTTTTAGATTAATCTTTTATTCTCCTTCTATTCAAGCATAATGGAACAAACGATAATTTAAAAATTATCGAACATACATTATGTATCGTTTGATGCAGACATCTACTGGCCTGATGTATTTTGCTCTACACTATTCACGTTCTCACTAATCTACAATACGTCAATTTCGAATGATTGCCGATTGGCTAGTAAAATGATTATTTTTTCTTCAATAATAAAGAGATTATGAAATGTTGTGCCTACCCTATTAATGCTAATTGATAGTTGGTAACTGGATGCTAGGCTATTATACATAGCGGTAGCTTTCTTAATACCCTGTATTCGCTATGCATTATGTTTGATCTTCTGATGATAAAGTTATAATGCTATTTAAATATTGAAATGTTTTTGAACATTTTATCAGTAGTACATCCTACCCCTTTTACTTATTCTTCTCATGTACATAAACAGAGTACATCAATCTAATCTTCGATAACCATTATTGAGCCCATCTTTGATACAGAACCCTTCCACTAATTGATTGCCTTTTGCATTAAGTTTAGGAAATACACTATACTTCGATATGAAATGTAGTTTAGAAAAAAACTACTAACGCTAGTAACAGCCCTTTTATCTACATTTGCCAATTATAATATACTTGCATGACTATTTTGCAACATTGTCTACAAAATGAAAGAATATACATGGCTTCAATAAAGTGGGTTAGATCAATGATTGCTTTTATCTACTTTTTTCTCTACAACAGCTTTAAATTTGCACTATAATCACTATTCCTGATATGACAGTTCTTATGACAGCTATTATTCAGCAATTAATCTTTGTTACACAATCTTAATTTTTATTTTGTCAGGAAAACATCAGTCTAAAAAATATCCTATAATACTATAAGCGAATTAATTCAATTTAGGCTTGCATCAGCCGTTGTCAATTAATATAATTATAGTTAACAGCAGTTCTGACATTTTTCGCTAGTTGCAGGCTGTTATTATTTAATGTTCTAGATTGCAATTAGGAGAATAATAAGTTATAAGTAACATCTGCCAATTTAACGGACAATTTTATAAAATATCACTGACATTTAAATGGTGTAAGAAATGTCTTGTCGGTAATTCTTATGAACGAATCTTATTTAGAAATAAGAAAATCGTAAACAAACTTGATCTTACCGAGATCGAGAACAAAAAAATGGAAGAGAGGCTATGTACCTTAAAGAGGGTAATGGAAAGAGAAAAAGAAGAAAGAATGTAAGTTTTTATCATATTTTACTTGAGAATAAAATCCATCATATTACAAGATTAAATAAATTAATCAAGAGTACATTAAAATCCCAATATGTTGTTAGGCAAGCAAGGGTAAATGTAGTTATCGAAGATGATAGGGTAACAAATCTTGTAGAGTTATTTTGTACTTGACACCAATTCTAATCGATTTATTGAGACGATACTATTGAAAGAAATATTGTAGCCGACTACTGAATTTATGTATAAAATTCATATTGCTTTTTGATCGTCGACAGTGCTAACTGAAAGTTCTTAATAATAATTAGTCCACGCGGTAACATAGATTCACCGCTAAATAATAAGTAAATTAAGTACTTTAGGTACTATTTCTCTCTTTCCGCTCTTGTTAACCGTAGCGATGCTTTATATATATTTTAGCAAAATGGGTGGATATCGTTGGCAGTCTGGTAAATTAGGCCCTCTTGCTTCTCATCCACATCAGATTTTGGAGGGAAACAAAGGGAAAAAAACGGTAAATCATTAATGACGAGGGATGTATATTGTAGTGAATCAAGTCTAACTGCTACTTATTAGAAAAGAAATACAACTATTGGTTGTATGTGTAAGGCAGACTAGGATAATAAAATGAAATTTTTAATAACAGCCATATTCATTTCAATTCTATCACAGACGACACGGCAGCGAAAATTAAAAATGTTGAGAGATGAAGATACTAGTAAGTTTAGAACCATCTTTTAAGGCTGTTAATTCAGCATGTTAAAATAACTTTAATTTTATTTCTATATTTGACTCGTCTCTACGTTATTATGCGTTATCTCGAAGCTTTTGTAAGAAAATTAAGCGTATTCAATCGCTGAGCACGTCAAGCTTATGTCGGATTTATCGTTTTATTTAGTGGATGTAGTTAAATCGGAAAGAATTGAAAAATTTAGCAGCGACTCTGACTATAAATCTGACAGCAGTCCGATCAAGGACCTACACTTGGTATGTGTAACTATTTTAGGCTGATATTAATACTAAAATATTAAAACTAAAATATTGGTGTTGCTTAGCATTTCAAATCGTATTAAAGTTTTATTCCTTAGATATTTTACTGTATTTTAAAAAAGTATCTAGATAATAGCTATAATTTCTTGATAAAAAGCTTTCGTCTTATCAGACACTTAATCAGTTTATTACTCCATTTCTGATATGTGTTTGTAGTCTTCGGGACAATCATATGACAGTATTAAACAGACGTCACTGCCTTTGCGAAATCCAGACAAAAGGTATCTATGCCGCATTTCGTATAAGATCTACTTCCTATTTCTCATGACTTATGAAAGCACTTTGGAGTCATAAATGGAAGAAAATATTTTTGTAGACTGCCTTAAGAGTTAATTTACATATATAATTGAATCATCTTGTTAATCATTAATGAATTGATTATATAGTACTTTGAGTCTTCGTTGTGATGGGATTGTTCATTAACGAAGTCCAAAAAACACTAATTTTATCAACTCATCTTTTACTTTCTTTCTTTAGTCCAAGCCCAGCTCAGCTTCAGAGCAAGGTAAGCTAACTAGACATAGCTAATTGCGTGTAAACAAGAGATAATAAATCAAAGGCCATTTTAATATCCGTAATTTTAGCACGATATTCACGATATCAAATAGGATTAATTTTATTTTAGCTCCTAATTAAGTAAAAGTACTACGCTGATTAAAATTACAAATATTTGGTTACTTTTGCAGATTCCTAGGAGAATAGGATTGAAAGACAACATGTCCACATCCTACGTAAAACCGAAAATTAATAACATTTCTTACGACACTAAAATATTGAATGCAGTAAAAACTAATTCATTGCTGTACGGCAATTACGACGAAAAAGAAAGTGCTAACTCTTTTCAGCAGGCGCTATTAGAATGGCGATCTGGCAGTAATAGTAATAAAAGCAACCCACCGACTACGAAAAAAGCAAAAAATGCTCCGACATCCGTTGGTTAGCAAATACAAATTTATTTAGTAACATTTGCCATATAATTTTGCTTTGCGTATTTAACCATCAATTTCATATGTCTTTATCAATTCTAGGCATTACAGTTAATTCTATCCTTGCTCGTCCTGAGTTTACCCCGGAACAAATTAAATTTAAACGTGATAATTTAAGTTATATGGAAAGATTAATGTTGAAAAAATTGCGTAAAAATAGAATTACTAAGCTAGATGTGGGACAGAACGAAACGAAAAGCAGTCCTACATCGCGCGTCTCAAGCCCAGAGCCTAAGATCAATTTACTGTCTGATGAACCATACTTCACAAAACATTCACAGAAAGAAAAGGTTATTCTATCTCCTCTAAGAAATTCTAAATCTTTAGACTTTTCCGATATTCATAAGAAATCCAACGTTAAAGCAGAGCACAATTACGAACAAGCTCCTTCAAAAGAAACAACAACCAGTAAAAAAAGTCCAAGGAAAGATTGTACAACTATAACGATAACTGCAGCAACTAGTGAATTATCTTTAACCGATGATAAAAATACTATTCTAAATCGTAAAGTATCAAAGTATACAGGATTAAGTGGGTTTTTCTTGGCCGGATTAGAAGATGGAAGCGCTGATAATGGAAACAAAGAAAATGATGTCAGCCAAAGCATTGAAGGCGGCCAGAGTACTACATTAAAATCAGGTCACTGGAAACCTCCTTCAAATGTATTTGGTGATAAGCCTGAATATATTAACTGGGGTATTAATGATTATTTAAACGATCCAGTTCCCCGAAGTAAGAGCCCAACAGCCTATATGCAGGTTTGTAGCTATAGTCGGCAATTTCTTATATTTTAATGATTACTGTAATGTTAAATAATATAGCCCTCTTAAACGAAACTTTACTCGCATATTGCTTTAATGGCCTAAGTTGCCCATTACTGTGAATACTTTTCAGTATTCTTAAACAGGAACACACATATACTGTATTACTGATCCAAACCATCAAACTGCATATTGTTAGACGAAAAATTTATCCTTTTCTTGGATTTTCATCAATAGGCTATCGATTTTTATTGCTTGTTTTACTTCAATTTGGAATTAATATATCTAAATAGTATCGTTGTATATTACGTCCATGATATCTTGTAGGTCCATCGCGTATCTAGTACGTCTCCCTTACCGCTTGATTTACAGCCTCCAAACGACTGGTCCGATGAAGAAGATAGTCTTGTTATTAATAAAACCGAACAAATTGATATGAAAAAAGTAGAAAAAATTTAGCCGGATGCTCAAGATGAAGTCGTATTCTAATCTATCCTTTCTATGTTGAACAGAAATTCTATAGCTCGATAATTTAATTACTTAAAAATTTGATAAAGAGGACAAAAATTCAGACAGTGTCATCGTTTCGGTCAATGTTGCCTTCCTTAGAATGTAATACTTTCTGATTCTGATTACTATTGAAAGCAGCTTTATTGCCATCAATATTGGATCATTTAATGTATAGAGTAGGTATATAAAAATGGGTGGTAAAAGTAGGCTACTAGATCTAAAATTGGCAAACAGTCTTGCAATAACCAAATTCCTTCTCAGATTAAGATAATTTTAGTTAATCATACGAAATTATAAATACCTCAATGTTTAAGTTTACAATAAAAGTATCGATAGCATCGGATCTTGACGGACGAGAAAAACAGAAATCATTTAATTGTAATTTATAACCCATTTGTCTTAATATTCATTTTTTTCCTGGACAATTTTATTTTGGCAATAGTGTTAAGAGGATTTGGATCAACTTTTTAACGTTCGAAAATTATTGAAGTTATCAATCCTTATCTCTACCTTTATCATTAATTTTCCACTATTTAACTGCAACTTGTATTGCTTTTCGAATAAAACAACTTTCTATTCATGGCATTAACATACTTTTTGAATACTTGCACAAATTGTTAAACAGGTCAATAAAACAACATGAATCACTAGTTTATTCATTTCCGAAGCAGGTACAAATGATCTTGAATTGCTAAATTCTTGCCTGTATATTACCAGCTCTGCAATGTAGGTAAAATTTTCAACTGATCGCGAATCAAAGCAGATAATGAGCCCAGTAGCTATCTATGATCAAATGGTGCTGGCCTTAATGATGTCAAGGTTTATTTATCCGTCGTTGAGATCAAAGATATTTTTGATTCCGATTTCATAGTAAAGTAATTCATCGGAGTACATAATACATCTCATTTGCAAAATAACTAAAAGAAAATATCCATTTAGTAAATTTGAGTAGTTAGTTAGTAATTCATTCGGTATATGCACACGTAGAATTGTTGTTGATGCTGGTGCAACTAATTTAAGTTAACAAAAACCTATCGCATTGGTTACCTGTAGAAGTTGTTTTTAAACATTCATCTCAACTACTTCAGGCAGAGCTACAGTGACTTTAATTTACTATTAGTTACTGACTCTCCTCTACAGTGATATTCTATGAGCAACATTAGAATAGCAAGTGCATAAAATAAATTATTATCAATAGTACTTTAGGAATAAAAAACTTGTCAAGCCTAGCAGTTCACTCCTCAACAATAATCCGAAATTGCATGACTCGATTACTCTGTATCACGATTATCAAGGAAAATGAAATACAATTTAAGCTGTGACGATATCAACAACTGGATTTGATTCCGTCCATTTTACTTCGATCAAATATTATTTATATTTATTATTATTATCACTAGCTGAAACACAATCATAACGTACAATCGTAATGTATAACGGCAACCTATTCTACACATTCCTGTAAGACAGGATGGCATACAAATACAGAAGTATGCCTTTACAATTCATCAGCAATAAATCATAGAATTCAGACTCTAGATAGGAGCAATCAATGGCAAATTGCGACAGATTTTCGAATGAAGCTATGTTGTTAATTTAAGACGAAGCTTTGAAAAGAGCTTGCAAAAAAATGTTACATCATTCGTTCAGAAATTAAGGACATCTTGCGACACAAGAACAAGAACTAATTAGTGCAACGTCGAAACAAATCAAGGATACTAAATATACGTTAACACTTAACAGTCACTACTTCTACACCACACAATCTAATATCTGCACTGCACTGTTGACGTTGTAACCCAAAGAGGCGATGGAGTCTGTGTCAGGTAGCCAATTTGGAATTGCGACTTCAGTACGGTGCCCAATTTTACACCTTTAGTAGAAGTTGGCAATATCCATTAAGATACATATTACATCATTGTTTCAGATATTACTAGGAAGAAAGTAACCCTCTCCGACCACGATGCATTTCTGACGTCAATTTCAAGCATTTATGCTATCAGCCTTCAGCCATGATTCAACTAACAGCGGACGTTACAGAACATGTTTAATTAACCTAATATCAGGTAACATCCTACACATACACAATACAAAAATATATCTAGCCATGTCCGTATTTAAAGTAATGGTCTAAAAGTAATACAACGATGGTGCGATGAAGATATAATATAGGATTCACAACCATGGAGGTAAGATTTGTATTTGAGTATTTTTCGATTCAGAGCATTACGTCATTGATTGGGTCATGCTCTTACCAATGTCAAGAATTGTTGCAAACTCACGACTGTTACCTATATTCAATACTATAGAAGTTGAAAGCTAGCGCGTCCACCTAGTACAGCAGTGGTCCAGACAGCGTACGTTAACCACTTACTGTATGGACAGTTGTTGGTTTGTACTGGAGGTAGATGGCACGAATCAAAATTGATTTTCTATCGATAATAACATTAATGTGATCTACTTCTAAGCTACATACAGGGAAAATCATCTGATAATCATACATTCACACTATGTTGATATATTTTAAATCTTTAGTAAGTAAGACTTTCGGTTATAATACGCTCGCTTGATTTTGCAAACACTTTGATGAGTTCTCCGTCCTTTCGCCATCAGTGAGTCATGACGTTCCTAAAAGCTTTCGCCTCTTTGCCTTCTAGCGTAACATCCGACGCAAGCACAGATACCCATAATGCCAATGATCAACCCAAGAATGAGTGCTACTGCATCACCACCATCGAAAGCGCTGACTTGGCTTATACAACATAAAATGAAAAAGATTAAAGATGACAAGTACAACATGGCGAGCACGCTTCGGCTTGATCTCGGTGAGGATATAAAGATTCTCGGAGATACGGTAGATGCTGGACACTAAACGCGGGTTCAGGTCGACGCTGGCTATATACCGTCTACCAGTGGCAGTACGATACTGTAGTCATGCAGTACAGTACAGTACAAAATCGAACGCCAATGCTTGGCGTTAGTGCGAAGCAGCAATACTATACAGTACATTGTGTACACTGTACAGTACAGTACAGTACAGTAGAGTACGGTGCATAAAGCTTACACCTACAGTGTACAGTACTATCCACAGTATATAGTACTGTACTGCGTAAAGTGCCGTATCAGTATCATCATGATCATCCTACAGTTCAGTATGACTTAATCACATCACATATTAATCACGTGTTTCCTTGCATTTCCCGGCGTCCACTGCCATTGTGCAATGTGCATGTAGGACAGTCTAGTACTGTACTGTATGATGTCACTAACTTAGTACAGTACTCTACTGTACACTGTACACCTGTTGTTTTCCACTGCACTACTGTACTGGACAACTAAGTCCAGTTCAGGAACGAATATACTGTACTAGACTAAAAAATAAAGAAACGGGACTGCCAATGGGTGTTGACTATACTAATACAGTCATGTGTAAGCTGATGAATGATTTGAATCGTATGCCAGTGTAACGGCACCGTCCGCGATGGAGATCTAAATTAGCGAGTAGGTTGGTTTTGTGTAGTATGGTATACGGTTTCATGAATACCGTATAGTAGAATGACCGGGAAAATGATATCCTCGGTCAAGCTCCCACCCTGGACGGCGGACGCATGTACACTGTACAGTACGTACTGTACAGTACAGCACACTCAAAGTACTGTACAATACAGTACAGTACTGCTAAGTCTACAGTACAGTACTGTAGACACCAAAATGTACTGTGCAACATGGAACATGTACAGTACAGTACTAACTGCATACAGTACTGTACTGTACTGTACTGTACTGTACTGTACTCCGAACGGTATTATTCCTTACAATGCTGTACTGTACCGTAAAAAGGTGTAAATCCAAATCGAACCAATCGTTTTATCAACAAGCAAGCAATCGTTGTTGGTTAGTATTAGTAACAAATAATTATTTCTTACAATAGATGAAGTAATATCATCAAGTCAATCGGCTGTTCCAAACTGCTTCTTTCCACATCGACCATAGCGCCTGATCGTATTGAAGAAATTGAAGAATATTATTGACTACTTCATAATTTTGGGCAATCCGTTTCGGTAGCCCATACCAGCGGCAATTTTAATCTTGATAAGCGTAACAAGAAGTTGAGGCTTATTCTGCAACTGGTAACAGCACTGAACGTCTACAATTGTAAACGCACCGATTGGTTGATCCATAAAAATTGACTATCTTCCTAGTTTTCAGCATTCGCCATGGCGGAAAAACTAGGTGCGATCGCTGGGATTTGTTTAATTTTATTTTGTGTAGGCGCAGTTGGCTTTTACTTTTGCTTGGATACTGTTATGAAGATGTCTGAATTGAACACATACAAAGCGATGCAATGCTCATACCAGGACGGTAGAATTATGGATTCACCTTATCGGCAGGCAGTTGTTGATGCCGCTGCCTTTGAAAAGAATGCCAGTGATATTTTTGCAGATGTTACAATCGCCTATCCATATTCACAGTACATGTACGCCAACAATGCTTCATTATACGAATTTTTAACTCTTTGGCAAACGAGCACTGCTAGATCGTGTTATGTAGATGTCAAATCGAATAGCACGCGAAAGCCGGCGGTTCCGGGCCCGTTTGATAGTGCGACATCTAGTATCATTATAATAAGCATGATCACCTGCATACTATCTCTATGTGGAAGTTCGTTTGGTTTACTGATGATTGTGAAAGCAAAACTGACCATGAAATAAGTTAGTGTTAACTGGCCAGTTATCACTGATCTTCCGATTTGGATAGGTATCAGACCACGATAGCCATATCCAGTCAACCAAGTAGCGAACCGTACGCAATATTCATTGTCTAATTCACTTAAGATGGAATGTATCAGTGTACGATCCGTTGTTTGAATTAATTTGCATCAGTAGTTTAGGGCATTTTAGTTTGTAAATAAGAGCCATTTAGAATTACTATTTATTTTTAAGCAATAGTGCTCCGTTGATGCACTGAGCTCTTATCCACTTTGTCAGAGATTTTTTCTTATTTACTGGCACAGTTTGCAATCGTACTACTCACGTCTGTACTTGTACTTTTTAATTCCTACAACATATATATCCTATGTACTGAAAAGTATACGCATATGCTGAGACGGACAAAACTATTTCAATATAGTAGATTCTGTACTATGTAAAAATTAAATGTTGGCTAATTTATACGAGAATTAGATGAATGTTTTTATAATGTTAATGTAATTCAAACATAAAAAATAGATTGTCGGTTACGCCGGCATGTCATATACGTATTCAGTACACAAAGATTTCAAATTTTTTCAATTATCATTTGAAGACTACTGTACGATGCTTTCACATACTAAAAATGCAGAGGGTACACTCGTACACTTATTTAATTTCATACGTTAATATTCTCTTATCTTTTGAATATCATTTTCGGACAACGTCGAATGAAGCAATTTTAAGTCATGCTTATTTATATTGGATCAGTTCGGCATACCTGACCTTACTAATGCTTCCTTTACATAATCCGCAATGGACTATTATGATAACGTTTGCTATCGTCATAGTTAACTGTAAAATTATTATTTTTCTAATTTACTTGAATATTAAATCTAATGTTGGCTCTGTTTATCTAAACTTGAACAATGTACAGTACGCACAGGAAATATAAGCAAACGCCTAAAAACTTTGTTTACGGCTGTACTCTGCTTTATTGTATGTATATGTAATCGTAATTAAAAATTTTCATAATAAGAATTGAGCGTGTTACTAGATGGTTATAGAGCACGTTAAAACTTTATTCATTAATTTACAATTCTATGTCTGAACTTGTCACTGCAATCAAATTATTCTACAATATTCTCGAAAAGCAGCGCATGCAATGTATAATAGCAAAGCTTTGAAAATTGGTAACCTGATAACTCAGAATTTTTTGAAAGACCGAGTACTGTAGAACTGGAAGAACATAACCAATTTGTGTATTTTGATTGACAGTCTTTGCCCTCTCGTCATCATTCTTGTGTCGTTTTCTGAGACGCTTATCAAGTTAACAGTAAATAAATACGGTCCACCCCTTGACTCGGAAATGTAGATTCCTTGTTAGACTGTAGAGTAAGATACTACAGTATAAGGCATTTTTAGTACAAAGTCACAAAACTACTCTACACTAGAAACAAGGACTTATAAAAAGAGAAATCTATCTCCCTTTTTCTACCGTACCCTTACTGTATGCTGTAGTAGACTTAAGTGAATCGATGTTATATTACTATTATTATTATTCTTATTCTTATTTCGGCTATCAGCATTTTATCTGTTAGCTGCATTAATTAATTAATTATTTGAAGTTTATTTAAGATGAAGGAATACTGTTTATCAGATCATGGGGTACTGGAAAAAGACTTGGACGGACAGACATTTTCGACTTTGTCAAAATATTGTGTCCAAAGACTTCATTATGAGAGTGCAGTACTACAGTATGGAGACGGCCCATTCTGAATGGACTGATTATTACTAAATTAATTAATATTACACTGAATCTTATTGTCAGTGACCATAGTTTCAGCTTGGAAACAACTCTATAAGATGGTAAATATTATGACTTATTCACTACCCGTCATTGAGAAACAGACCCGTAAGAACCATACTATAGTAATTAGTCATTTTAGCCATTTACGTTGTCATTTAGCATTTGGCAAGGGAAAGTCCGTCCGCCACTGAGAAGTGATTAGTCCTGGTCTTTTTCTGGTAGTCCCTATATGTGGTCTATCCACGAGTGTTAGCAATACACTATGGCAATAGCGGTAGCTTGCTGCTGTTGTAAAAAAATCTCATACTGTTCGAACGGTAATTTTTTCCACTACAGTAGTCTGTCCGTCTCATTTTGCCAGCGCAAAATTCACTCACGTTATACTGTACTGTACAGTGTACAGTGTACAGTACGTCCTTACAGTACATCACATCGTACTGTACTGTACTGTACTGTACATTTCTCGTTGTACTGTACAGTACAGTACAACAGTAAGAATTTAGTATACTGTACATGTACTGTATGCTGTAGTCTGTCCGGGCGTACGTACGTATATAGTACGCAAGTGATACAGCGATATTGCGGGTATGACTGCCGTGTTGCCTATTTACCCAAATTCCGGTTAAAACGTTATTCATCCTTTTAACGCTGTACTGTAGAAAGTCCTTCGAACTGAACTAGTGTAGGCACGTTATACTGGGATAGGATAAGCGTTCTCGGTCAAGGCCAATCCTCCGTCTTTCACCGAACAGACTGGATTGCACTGATGTCCTGAAATTCTCCACTTCAAGGGTATTTTATCTAGTCATTTATTTAAAATATTATTATTTACTAAAAGAAAGTCGCGATAAAGCCTTTATCTAATGAACTGTCTGGTTTGTAAATCCAGAAAAGTCAACACAGCATTGTTCTTCAAGCATCCAAGTTATTGATTGTATTGGAATATTAATTAACTGTTCAAGAAGGAAATATAGTCTATCAACAACGTTGGTGGATCCCGGATACTCCACAGCAACCTGGTCAAAATGGCTCAATCCAACTCCTTTATAAAATATTGCTTATCGATTTTAATGTTATTAATAGTAGTTATTTTTTGCGTTCATGTTCTAAGTATCGCTTCGCGAATCAATCAATACACATTGATTACCAATTGTACGTACATAAATGGCAGTTTAGTCAGTCAGCCTTACCGAGGGGCGGTAGTTTTTGCAGATGCGTGGAATCCTTCTACCAATGTCAGAGTTATTACAAAGATATTACATCCTAATTCTCCTTATACTATAGTCAGTGACTATCGACTTTCGACGTATTTGTCACGTTGGAAAAGCAGCAAAACTTTGAATTGTTACGTTGATCTAGCCTCTTCGGCTGTTGTAAAGGCAGGAGCTGCCGATCGAATGCCAATTGCTTTTTATATTATTATCTTGATTCCGTTTTCCTTCCTCTTGCTGTTAACTGTTGCTGTGATTTGTTATAAGATTCGTCGTTCATTGAAGCCGGATAAGAGTAGTGCAGTACAGAGTAACGTTACTAGTATGTAGGGCTTTTAGTTTATTGTAATCGATTCAAATGGCAAATACAGTAATCCAGTGTAGGAGCCCAGATGTGTTCTCTTTCGTAGATTGGCTTTCGCATTTTTTTTTTTTTTTTTTTTGGACTTGTTGATAAAACGTCGTTATGGTGCCGACCTAATCCATAATATTTAAGTTGCCTATACAGTATTCATTACTGAACTTCTATTTCTCTTTCTCGAAGTTATTAAAGCCGCTTTCGCTAGTGCTTGTTTGATGAACGATTGTTTGCGACATTGTTCACAAGTACAGCACTACAATAAATGAATAATATACTCGTACCCTAGTTATTTGAATGGAATTAAATTAAATGTGTCATCTAAGCAATAATTGAATCATAGTAATTTATGTAATAGCTATTCTTTTGATTAATATGGATGCTGACTAGTAAGCTTCATTTTGTAGCTGATATTAAATGACTAGCTATGAACTACCTATCATCTTCTGGCTTTCGTACTGGGAACGGCAACATTAATTTAAAAAAATGACAATGGTTTTAATTTGCATCAAAGTAAATAAGGTTAGCTCTATGCCAGCGCAATCACGATTGCTGGACCGTCACTTTTGAAGTAATTGAAAATAAAACGGCATCATAGCTTAATCTTAAAGCTTCATCGCTACACTGTCCACTAAGACATAGCGAAGTAGTTTGAACTGTACAGTACATTGGACGAATCTGTGGAATGCAACCGCTTTTTCTACGCAATTAATCGCCTATTTATTGGATGATCAACTGCTTTCGGATGTCGGAGATACAGTACATAACAGCAAAAAAGTAGTCTTACAGACACTTGGAATTATGAAAACATTTTTATAGAAGCAGAGTTAAATGTAGATATCCTAGGACAGCTTTTAATACATCTATAGAATCTGTCACGTATTCATGTGTTTACAGAAGTTATTTATTTACGACACTGCAGCAATAGAAATTTATTTGCATAGGCAAATATAAAACTAAATGGTGTTCATACTTGCTGTACGAATTGTGCCATAGCAATATACTGTACACTACGGTATACACTTTCTATCCGTGAAATACTTTTTCATATTTTGGATTTTCGAAAGGCTTTCGATAGGATAAAGTAGTCATCTTCTAAACCAAGGAGTAGGAAAGGCATGGTAGTTTTTATTTTTTGCGCTAAAGCATGGTAATTAAAGTTGTGCTGTACCTTTAATGGCGTGTTTTAGATACACGTTCATTGTTGCTGACAAAGATATTTCGTATCATTAAATTTTCGACTAGCGTTGTAGACGAAGGAAGTGGATATTGCATTCTAAACGAGCGTTGACTCCTGTTAAAGCTTTTTGACTACTATCATTCCAATTTCCTATGTACTGTCAGGCCTACGTACTGTACTGTATGTCTGTGCGTATAGCGTATTTGTAATAGATTATGTAAACATAGTATAGCGTGCGGCGTACGGTAAATTTCATCATGGAGTTCATCAACATGTCTATATACGCTATTGCATTCAGTGTAATACTGTACCTGTCTATAGATTTTGTACTCCAGCTCATTTTTTATAACAAGTTCGATCAGCATTGCTCATTGTCAAAATACTTTACTGCTACTACGCGATTATTAATGAAAGCAATATCATACTGGTAGCACCTAAGTCGTACTACAGTTTAGATAATTTAAACTACGTATTCAAGCTAAATTCAGGAGAAATACTGACTATGGAGGACTTTCTAAAACCTTGTATGTCAATTTTATCGAAATCATATTGCTTACTGGCTTCATTGACAAGATATACATACGATCTGCTAACTAGAGAACTATATAGTTTGCAATATGTTATTACTATTCTAGGTTACAAAACACATTTGTGTGAATACAGGAAAGTAACGAGTTTGTTGAACTACCTCCTTACATGCATTATAGCTATGCTATTAATTTTAGACTTAATCTATGACATTGTCACGATGCTGCGAAAGGTCATAAAAAAAAGAGTTGAGCCATATACTTTAATGATTTGCTGATTAGAATAATCAGCTGATATTCTAGTCATACTACAGCAATCGGACAAATGCATATCATAATTTATATGCTACAATAGCTTAAGAACTACAAAGCTCTTAGCAAAACACGAACTCTAAAATAGCGTTGATTGCGAATCGTTTGAGATAGAAATGATTAAAATTTCTCAGGATATGCAATTGTTCAGAATTGCCTAACTATCATCCTATCGGTATTAAGATGCTCTATGTAGCATTTGAGAGAAGAAGTATCACTATAAACATTATAGTTGAATATTCTACCAAGATCGCAAAATGCCAAGTTATCTGCATTGCGTGTATACGGATACTGTAGGTCGTTTATTGTTATCATTACTTACTACTATCTGGCTTTCCTTAAACTGTCATATCTAATTTTATATCTAGTCAACTAGTAAATTGTAAACAGTTTATCTCTTGCATCGAATTCTACATGAGCATCGCAAATAAGCTATCGTCTGCACATTCTTCTACTATATGCTAAATTGTATATCGCACTAAACATGTATGGTGTAAGGTAGAATAGCATAAGGTTTCTTCAAGTCAAATTCTTCTTACTTCAGGTTCTTGCTACAGTCTGCATATGCTGAATGTTTGTATGTGTCATATTATATGCTTATATTGACTTGAATATTCGGGTAAGATATGTTTAATAATTTCAAATTACGTTAATTATCTGTAGCGTCAGAGTTTTATTGGGGTAATGAGTAGCGCTTTACATCGGTTAGATAGTTTTTAACAGTTTTAAATTGATTGATTTTTCAACAAAATTTGACCTTTTGGTAACGTATTTGTAAAATTAAATTTTAGATATGCAACGTAGTTTAGATATTATGATTATTGATAAGAATGCATATTACTTCAATTAATTCGACACCAGATCAATAATATGATATTTGCAGTTTCTTTATTAAGCTCCATTATTACATAATTATCATTTTCTTATTTGCTGTTGAGCAACGGTTGAGTTGTTTCGTTTAGGCTATCAACTTCTGATGGTAGAAGCGTTCCAGCTCTATAGTTGCAAATATTGAAATTAAATTTTATATATTACCTTTAAATTGAAAACTTTATTTTAGTGATGCAAGAATAGTATAGATCTTATGTTCGCTTAGCTATAATGTACAGATATACCGTAGCATCAGGAATTAAGTAAATTTATGTACATATCAATCTCATCGCCAGCTTGTGAATTCATATTTAATATACTACATTTAACGTATCTGATTATAGTTCACACAAAATTTAAGATGTCCTGTTGTCATATTAAGAGAAAAATAATTTTCCTGCTGTTCTTTAATGCAAATTTGCTAGCCTATACAATAGATTTATTCTGAAAATACTATCGTATATGAATTCTCTAGTTTAATCTAAGGTGTGAGTTACTGTATTGAAGCAATAAATATGATATTTTTGATAAGCTGATGGTACTGCTTTAAGAAATAGTATTTTACGAGTATTTATGCCTGCACGACTTGTGTTTAATGCCAAAACAAAATCTCGCAGACAATTTTGTGCTTGTAAGTGTACTTAATTGTGAAACTTGCCCTATATCCTGTAAATATCTTTTTTCGTCTTTGCGATGAAAGTACCAAAGTACGGCATAAATAATGACCTGCATTCCTTTAAAAACAATCATAGTTATAAACATATTCTTGCTCATATCTCTGTTGTCATACTGCCAGCAAAACTGATTATGATCACACTCAATGTTCCAGAGCGAACATGCTTTATCCATGACTATACCCAAGAATATTGGGCCTAGTAATCCTCCTATCATTCTTTTCATAAACCCCAATACTCCTAAAGCAAACGATACCTGGCTTTCCGGGACGTTCCTGCAGAGGATATAAGAACTTTAGTACCTTAGTTACTGTTTCTAATTAAAATTTCACTTTATACATCTTTAATTGATGTGTCGATTTTTCTCTTGCCAACGTAAGCATAAATAGTAAAAACGTGGAACTATTTTTAGGGCTTACCTAAGGATGACTGTTAATGTTGGCGAATAAGAAATATAAGCAGCAATAACTGAAAAAGTTATACCGATCATTAAAGCATATAAAGGTTGACAAATTGGAACTTGACAAAATCCTGGTGTAGCAGAAGGTACGCAAGTGCAATTTTTATAAACCTATTTTAAATACAGCAATAAAATATTGAAACTGTCTCAGTTTTCTGTTCTGTAAGTAAGATTGTGCAAGGCATAAAAGTATTGTATAGTCTTAGTGAATGGTTCATATGCTATACATTGAAATTTCAATTAATATTTAAGCTCTAGTATATTTATGTATCGTTTGTAATTACATTTAACCGTAAACAATGACTAGGATATTCACATTTTAACGTTGGTTAAAATACTTTGGGTGTGCTATTTTTCTCATTATTTTCCTTAATTCTACATATGCCAGTAAGCGAATTAAATATAAATATGAGTCTTCTAATGCTTTTAACGATTATTCGTAAAACATGATAGTTGGAATGCTATAGCACCATAAAGCAGTAATGTTGGTTTATTACTCCATAATTATAAGATAATTGCTTCTTTAGTTAGGTGTGGGTATAAGTTGATTTAACAAAAATCTGGATGCAGGGCGAATTCTAAAGATATTATATTTATTGAATATTCTGCTTACAAGGTTATTATTAAAATCAGATTCTTTTAAACTACTGCAGCCGGCATGGCAAGGGGATAAATAGGATATGCCATCACCACCGCATACAGGTTCAAATGGAACGGAATCGCACAAACAGTGACTATTACATGCCGCCTTGTATGTTATATTGGCATACCTATTAATGAAAAGTCAATTATCTCAGATTTATGAATAATATCGCTCTCGTTATGATAAATTTACATCTAATTATTTATTTCGATGTGCTATATTCTATTTTCACTTCCTAATGATAAGTAAGCTAAAGTGCTTAACTTACGTATTTAAAGGCAATGAAATATCGATTTGTGAATTATTAAAATTATACGGGATATTCACACCAGCAATGGGTATATTAGGACATGATATCAAGTATACCCCTCCTAGAAGAAAGTTACAAATACTTGTGAAGAAGCAAAATCTGGAAATTTGAGATCCTTTCAATTTCCAGCGTTTGATTACATAGCCACCCTATCGAATATAATTATGATTAAGGTATCATTTGGTGATAAATCTTGTACAATGATGCCTGCATTTTGTATTGCGGTAAATTTTTTAAGAAGAATCGCTTTCTAGCAATTGATTAAGCAGATATTGTTGCTTACCGCAACTTGGCCTACAGAGGCAATGAAAGAAATCAAACCACCACCGAGCATACTAGCTACCAACAACGAATAGCCTGTTTGGGCTTGAATGTATTGAGGAAGAAACATTGTAAGACCATTGATAGCTACTTTATCCACAGTAATGCCGAAACTTGCAAACATAAAAATTTTATTGGATAACAACTGTTTGATTGCTTTTGGTAAATCGATCATACGATTTCCATACTGATAATCCATATGTTGAGTAGCCACTGTGGCTTCCTTAATTCTCTCTTGCCGTGTATTGTAGTATGATGGTAAATGGCGTGGAAATGCAAACACGAATAAAACTGTTAATGCAATTAGAACAACAATACCTAGATAATTAATCCACCAAGCTCCAACCCATGCAACGCTATTAGAAGTTAAACCTGTTCATGTTTAAAGAAAACATAAAATTATTGCATTATATCCCAAATATTACATATCATATAAGATTTAAAAGTATTTACCAAACTTTTGCGATTATGAAATCATGATAACACAATCGATTAGCTATTACCAATTTTAAACTTACTGATCTGAAACTGTTAAATGTAAATCAATGAATAATGTATTTGTCATGGGAGTCAAATGATTCATGTCTTGAGTGAGCTTACTATAATTATTATTTTACATCGTATCGACGATTTCTGATGTAAAAACAGCTTCTAGTCAGATTCATAATTTCTAATACTTGCAATCAATGAATGCATGTATTAAATTTTTGCATCATGTTCCGTAGGAAATTAAACTAATTAGAATGATAGTAGTAAGATGATGGGGCAGTGGCAGAGATTACATATAGCAGTTCTTTCTAAATTATTCTACCAATTCATTCTGCGATATTGACACAGTTAACGGTTGTAGTATCTGTAAATTTATTTACTATTGCTGGTGTATAGAATGGTGAAGCCTGGTGAAAGGAAATTTTTAGGTAGAACCATCATTTTCTCATTAATAACAGATTAACATTATATTTCATTCATTATCATTCCTCCGTGGAGGTCGGTAAGTAAAGTACTAAAATATTCGATGGATTTTCCATACATATGCTACAGATACATTCTATCGAAACGAAATAAATTACGATATAGAATGAATAGTACTGCACGGCATACATACTATCATAAACGTCCTATTTAGAATTTTAGTTAGTATCGTATCTACGTAATATCAATACCATTAGGTGGATCTTTAGGCCAATCAACGTATACATTTGTTAAAGCACCGCCAATAACATATCCTAATGTTGGACCGATAATGCTCATCATATGAATAATACCAACGTATAACGGAGAGATAATGGGGCTAACGTTTTCATCTAAATATGCTACACTTAAATTATATCGTGTAGCGTTACCTGCGCCACATAAAATTTGTCCTAGGACGAATAAAAAGGGACAAATCCAAAATGTTGAAGGCTCATAACTTTTTGAACATTTTTCATCGATTGATGTTGTGTTGATGCTTCTATGGCATAAAGTTTTACCGCTATCATCTTCAAGATAATAGTAGTCATCGACAAGGAAATGAGGGGCTACAAACAACATTGTACCAACTATGTAGAGAAGTAAGCTATAGCCGATCCAACGACCTTTATGCTTTTGGCTAGCATAAAATGTTAACAAAATGCCATTAATTGCAGCGGAGATATCGGCAGAACTCATAATAGCACCGACTTCTGTCGATGTCATATTATATCGTTTTTCCAAAATTGGAGCAATAACAGCTTTAAATCCGAGAAATGCTGTTCCGATTGTACTAAAATAACATAGGATGATAAGTAACCAAAAAGAGTTATTAAATACTTGCAACCACTGTGGACGAAAGTATCCTAAGCCACATTCTGAAATTTCATCAAGTGAGTCAAGATCATCATGAAGATCATCATAATCGTCATCCTTGTCATTAAATTGTTGATTAGTGTCGCCAGCATTATTTGTATAGCTTATTTCTGATGGATGAATAGGTAAAATACTGCTCAGCTCCTCTTGAGACATGATTCTTCATTTAATCTGTTACTATTTAGATGACATTTAACGATGGAAGTCAATTTAGATGTTATAATACCTCTAGGTCACTAGCCACGGACGTTTAGCGACTCTACAATTTAATATCCCATATATAAGAGTTGCAGAGCATGAAGTACTCGCATTAAATATTCTATATTACTTGTATAAAGAAAAAAATGTTATTTTAGCTTGCACCTGCCAATTAAAAATTACCTTTTCATTGTAGTGATCTCAAGTAAACATAACAAAGCTTATTGCATTTCAGCATTAATTGTTCTTGTTACAACATCCACTGTTTTTAAAATAGCTGAATAAGATAGTGAAAATCGACTTAAAAAGTGTTAATTACATCTGTTCGAAATCATAATTGGAAAATAAATTCTAATTATCTGATATTAAACAGTTACTGTAACAAAGAAATAAATGAAAAGCTGAATTTATATAGATTAATATAGTTTTTATATTTCTCTTATAGGTCAGTGAAATCTTGGATACCATCCCGATGCCGCATTTAGAGATCTGGTTGAGTGCTCAAGTATTAATGCAATCCTTGATTTGAAAGACCTTTGTTTATTGCGTCTAATATTCAAGGCAATGTATAGTCAAATTATTTTTATTATATCCTGGGCGCTCTGTTCTACAATCCTTATAAGCATTTCTCTGACCTGTAATACACCACTCTATTGATATAAGGGTAGCGTGTATAAGTAACCTATGAAAAGTGAAACATAGGATAAACGTAAGCTCTTTTGTTGCGTTTAGAAGGATGTATTTTAGCCTAGTGAATTGGAATTTTTTAATTTGACAAAATTACAAGTTGACAAAACAGATTTGCAATATATCAGTATTTGCGGCTATAATAATATTTACGAAAGATGTTATACTATATACCACATTGAAGGGAAATGAGCTACTTTTTAGAGGTCTTATTAATGCATATTTACAGTACAGTATTTATTCTTATTTTAGATATCAATTTATATCCACGTATTGCTACCTGATCATTTTCTAATTACGTAATTATTAATGTTCTAATTATTCGTCCATTCATTATAGGTTAGGTTTTAAAACTCCGCGATGCAACGTTAGATGGCTCGTATCAGTTTCAAAAATTCATTCCAATCAAGTAATTTAAATTTGCCGTTACCAAAAAGCAATCTTTAAGATCAAGTCATGTTAATCATGATTTGGAAAATAACGGTAACAATTTTGGCCATACTATCCTATCGATTCATAGACATTATTAAAAAGATTAAAGTAGCCATATAATAACGGATAAATTAATAATGAAGATTAGATTTTTCGAGATAATATATGTACTGTTCCAAAGGATTATTACTCTCTATAGTATTTGATAGCATTATTTTACTTTAAATATGGTCATTTAATGTAAGCATAAGAAAGTGCTTTAGCGATAAAATTGGCAAGAATGAAAATTAATTATTTCGCTATGTAAATAATATTTGAATAGCTAAAAGGTTTGATATCCCATTGTAACCACGAATCTTAAAATGAAGAAGATAACATATCATATTTGACAGTATAAAATGGATAAAAGCTTGTCATTAAATATACTTTTGAGAAACTAAGCTTAAGCAATGCTAACTATTTAAGTTGGAAAACTTGATTATTTGTGGTTCAGTGCAACATTAAACAGTATTTCAACTCCACGAGTGTCATTAGGCCTCATTTAAGGTTTATACTGGCCAATTGTAATCGGTATCGTAATTTGGATAGTAGTTTTATTTTAGCTAGATTTTTTTCTCGTTTTTAGGCCTCTCATAATTAGAATAGATGATTCCTACAGTAGTGAAAATATATAGAGTGGCATAGTTCTTATTTGACGAAAGTTCTAGAATTTAATATTTTATGAAATTTATAAAACGTAAGCTTTGTATACGATATAATAATAATCTTGTTGTTCTATACTCGGGAAGTATAGATATTAGCCATATCTTAATACATTACTAGCATTTCTGATTTTTCTAATTTTATCTGCTGAATAGGTTGGTACTTTAACTGCCATATTATTAAAGCACAGGCTTTACTAAACAATGCAAACGTTCATACCTTGTGCCATATTTCAAATTTAATAAATCGAAATTTTAATCAGACAGTTACTTATTACTTTATGCTACCGACTAAAATTGGTCGAGATAATCTTTCCACTTGAACTCCTGTAGTGGTAATGACAGGCTTTCCTTCTGTACTCAATTTCGTCTGTCTACATTTTTCGGTATTTTATGCTAAAGTGAAAAAGCATGAACAGTTAGCACTGTACCAAGGATCTGTACCTGGTTCAAGTTTTTTATAAATGCCGAGCAATTATCGTGTATGCTACAAACCATGTCTTGTATTCTCAACTATATGCTATTGATATGATATTATTTATGTCGGTAGTCTGGGTTATAATTATCGCTTTATGTATTTTAATTCTGAAATACTGACAATTATAATTAATGTCATATAACAATTTCTGAACTATAATGAGTAACAAATGAATAGAGACAAGAAATGATGATCTAAAAATAACATTTAATCCAGAACGACTACAATAGACGCCGCTTTAGCTTATTAACCTAAACTATCAGAGAAAATTTTATTCAAAGATTGCGAGCAGTAAAGTCAATTTCTTGAAAAAGATTTCATTGTAGCAGTATGCTTCGGTTTTTATATATTTGTTAGTCTGAAATGTTATGTTGTAGTGTATGACGTTGACGATTTGAAACGTTGAATTGATGGTGTATAATCTCGACGTATTATCATAGACGCCGACTCCCTGATGTGATTAATCTCAAAGATTTAAGGCATTGATAAATAAAGACTATAGTAAAGCCGCGTTTCTATACTCCTGCAAAGAATAAGCGTAGATTTGAATGTAGCTTAAATTAGATTAAGTAAGGATTATATTAATTATTATTAACATAGATATATCGCGTTATTACGCAAATGCCGGAAGTGTTGACATGATGATTTTCTTGATTTTATTATTTATATTCATTGTTTCTAGATATTAATTTCTAATCTCTTTGCTACAGTACTTCGTTTGTTATTGATGAATTGCTGACAAATTTTATGATATTGTCTACAAGGAAATGAACAAGATTAAATCTATTGGATAACAGATTAGGCAAAGTCAATTGATTCATAGGCGTTGAGTTTATGCATGCACAAAATGTTCATTGCATGTTAATATAGGCATTTTAGTGCTTGTAGTGGTTAAAGATGAGCGAAAATGTTGGTAATGTATCCAACTTGCAAGTCATAAAGTCAGCGGAGATTTATTTGACGCTTTTACAGTGCAACAAGGCATCCGCTACTTCGAGAATATGAGAAAATTAATTATAGAACATAGTTGCTAATTGTAATACTGTAATAATTTCCGTATTCTGGTTATGATTGATAAATTCTATAATATAGTAATAACACGAATATATTGCCTATTGAAATCCAATCCATTGTTTTCCCATCCCGTTTTAAATTATGGGTAGATATAACTCAATAATGATTATCATATAATTCTACAACTGGAGGAATCATAACAATACTAGCTGTCGTTTAATTTACAATTGCAAGAGAAAAGTAGATGGCAGAACAATCAACAAGTTGACAGATCACAAGGTGGCAGATAATAATTCTATCCAATCTACCTTAGCATTGTTTGATGCTATTCAAATCATATTAATTATTGTTATCTATCCTTATCATAATGCCCAATAGCATGTTGTGTATTTGATTGACTACCGAATTTAAATGATAAATTTGTTTGTTTAATTAGTCGACTCGATTGTATATATTTACGCTATGTTCACCTTTCTGATGTGGCAGCAACACCCTCTCGACCAGTATAGTTTACTACATCATCTTGGATTGACATATTGAAAAGTGGGCAGACATTAACAAGTACTAATACTTATGTTAAAAGGGATATATACCCAAGTTGAGAATAGTATTATTGTGAAGTTGGGCATATTCCTGTTTAGTAAGGTCGTTAATGGATGTGTTTTGACCGATGGTATGTTTTACAGATGAAATGTTATGTAAAGTGTCTTCACTATCTTGTATATAGCCGTAGAATAATAGTTTACCAATGGGATTACTTGCCTAGGTTAAAATATTGAACTGTTAACATTAACTTGAGAAACCGAACAAAATATGGAAATTTGTATTCTTCCTAACCACGTTCTAGAATCACGAATAGTGATAGCCTTCTTTTTTTTTATTTAATTTAGCATTTAGGTGAACTGCTTTCCGCTGCTTTTACCCAAAGAGATTGGAAACTTGTACTTCATTTTTTTGCAAGTCATCAAGTAATTATAATCGGAAATGTGTCTTAGCTTGACCACCTAGCTAAAGACCACTGCTAATGAACTGAAGAAGGAAAGAAAAACAATCTCTTCACGTACTGTATAAACTTATCATTTACGTCACAATTACAACCCTTCCATTCAGCCCAGATTAATCGACATGCAAGTTGTTGTTAAATCGCAATCAGGAAATTTACTGTTGCTCCAAGGTGAAGCCAACGATACTGTTCGTGATTTAAAGGAGAAGTTATATTATCATGTACATAATCCGCCATCACAACAACGTCTAATCTATCGTGGTAAACAACTTGATGACGAAAAATTATTAACATCTTATTCTATTGCCAATAATGCTTTAATTCGCTATTTACCAGTATCAAAGGAAGAAATTCGATTGAATTGCAACCTGTTTACGGGGCAGTTTCTATCGCTCAATGTTGAGTTAGATCAAAGCATTTGTCATGTTAAAGAACTGTTACATCAACAAACTAATATTCCTATGGAAAAACAACGATTACTATTAGCTAATAAGCAATTGAAAGATACGGAAACATTACGTTGTTATGGAATGCAAGAAAATGATACTATCAACATGGTATTGAAATTACCTCGTCGTATACCTTTACATATTAAAATGAATCATGATAAAACTATAACTATTGAAATCGAATCGAATAGTACTGTCGCTGACATTAAAGAAGTGGTGTTTATTAATAATAATATGCCGCCAAATAAACAACGTTTAACGTATAACGGGAAAGTCATGCTGGATTCAACAACAGTCGATGACTATGGTCTTAAAAATTATGATACTATCTACATGATACACCGTCGGAAATCACGAAATCAAGCCGTTATTGTTCAAATGGAAAATGATCAGACTTTAAGTGTACCAGCTAAAGAAGATTCTACCATTCAAGAAATTAAACATTTAATTGAAGAACAAACAAACATACCTTGGCGTCAACAACGATTATTACATGATGACGTTCTACTTAATAATTCCTCGACATTAGCTGATTGTCAACTGCAATTGCCTTGTCAATTGCAATTATTTTCATCAGATATCTTGCAGATTTATATACGACTTTCAGTGGGTAAGCAATTGTCACTGGAAGTCTTAGAAATGGATAAAATTTATGATATTAAAGGTAGGATTGAAGATAAAGAAGGCATATCTATTTTACAGCAAACATTACGATTTAAAGGTAAAATTTTGAAAGATCAAACCACTCTAAAGTCTTGTGATATCGGTAGTGGGTCTATTCTGCAACTTAAAATTAATGTAGATGATCGAAATTGTTGTGTTATGTGAGATATTTGCAAGGAAGGAAAGTATCTCACGGGTTATATTCGTTATTGGTCGTCAATGTGAATCGATCGCTTATAGATGCTATTTTTGAATATAAGACTATCATGGATTTATGGTATCATTTAGATGAGGTAATAACAGTTAGAATAGCATGTTCGATTGTAAATGTTCCTCTTCTATTGATTATAATAATAATAATGAGCTTGTTTCCTCTGCTGCGACATAAAAATGTTCATATTATAATTCTAATGAAGACATATCATAAATAGGCTCAATAGTTCCATTAATAAGATTGCGGTTACAGATTAGTGGAGATTCGATTAATGCAAAGCCTAGTATTGCAAGTGCAAGACGGCTTAATGTCAGAATTGCTCAATGCAATCGTGTGATAGGCTTGTATTTGATGAAATAAGAATTCGACTCCATCGGTAATTTTGTAATTAGGATATAACGATGGTATCATATCACCGAGGGTATAATAAATAGATACGAGTATATTACGAAGGATTGAAATTAGCACGATTATTACTGAATTAATATGATTCTTGGGTGACTTGATTAATGTTATACTATATATTCATCTTATTTTATTGCTAATACTGAATTAAAGTGTTTCTCGCGTGGTATGATTAGCGTTATGCCTAATGTTATTTCATGGCTAATAAATGGCTAAAATTTTACTAGCTAGAATTGGAGTCGATAAGTAATTTTGTAATTAGAATATAGCAATTCTATCATATCACCTAATATATAATAAATAGATGAAAGTCTAAAGGATTACAATTACTATGATCTATGATGATAACTACTAAATTAGTATGATTTTCGTGTGACAAGATTAGCGTTGTTTCGTGGCCAGTGAATGGCTAAAATTTTAATAGCTTGAATTTAGGTCTATCGTTAACTTTGTAATTAAGATATAACGATTGTATCGTATTACTTAAGAGACAATAAATATATAGGATGATAGCTACTGAATGAATGTGATTCTTGCGTGGCAAGATTAGCGTTATTTCAGGGCCAGTAAATGGTTCAAATTGGATTAGCTATAGTTCCAGTTATTTGCCTACGGCTAAGGGAATAATGATCGGTGTACGCGCCTGTTTTGCTAGATATGGGGTATAACTCGCTTGCAGGCTAATTCCAATCGGGCTCTAAACAACATTTATTGATATTGCATTTTCCTGCTTTTCGTCTATAGAAGTTAAGCTAATTGGAAATACGAGTTCATGGTAATCCATTTGAAATAATGGCTAACAACGTCTGCTGCAATCTTCAATTTTACACATATTTACTTAAAATATGTAAGTAGCACCTGATTACGATTTTATTTTGCCATAGCTGATATTGACTTGTTCCAATCAAGTTTTAGCTATTGCGGCACTATCCACTCATATTATGACCAGCCACAATGATTAAGTGTAATCTTTATTTACCTTTGTAAGATATACATTCTACGTATGATATCGATTATTTTGCGTGAATGTTTTTAAATGAAGGCCATGCCCATAATTTGATTCATAGCCGCATGATATCTGAATAATTATGATTGAGTAAATGGATTGTAGTTCAGAGCGATTATCTAATGTGCCTTATAACATTTACTTCTTTTCTCATCTCTTTTTTTAAAGAAGAATTGACGGGTAGCATTAGCTTCGTTCTTTATACTATTCTTGATTGACATTATTAGCTAGTGGCTCCGATATGAAGCGCCGAGATCTTTTCTTAGTTCACATTTTCATCGTTCTAGTAAAGTAAATTCCTCCTGTTACAACATTTCTCCACCTCATTCATTGTCACTTTTCTAGTTCGAGTAGGTGGGTGTTACAAATTGGTTTTGTAACAAGAAAAGAGTTAATTAAACTAATTTTACGGTTTTATCATTAATTACCTCCAATTCTGGGGTACGTTAGTCAATCATTTTAATAGTTCACGATCATAGCTTTTATATTCATGTAAGGATTGCACAACAGCAAAGTAGGTTATACTAGTCGTCCACTCGGGAGACGACAGCTCACGAAAAATGTTGCAAACAGGACCTTAGTTAACGCTAGTCTATTTCTTTAAATTACTTAATATATATATATACAGATCCCCCAGTAAGTTACAGATCAATGCTTAGTATATCATATCGGTAAAGTATAGTCGTAACAGTGGGTTGTCATCAACAGGTTTAATATCCAAGTGATTAATGGTGGATAGAGGCATAACTGTCCACTTTTGTGATTGGTATACAGCATATTAAGCCTGTACACAATACTGTACATTGGCTCGCTGATGATTCAATAATGTATTAATAAGAACATTGATTTATTCAGCGTCCTTCTTTACCCAGCAGTTATTTTGAATTCAATACTGTAGTTTTTCAATATTTTTTTTTTTAATCAGGGTTGAGGTTGATCAAGCGGTTACATTTACAGCCTACCTACGTGTATACTAGGGGTGTTTACTATCGAGTTAGGACTCAAGCTGATCTCTAAATTTCAGCAATGTTCCAGGTGATTTAACCTCACTACTGCATGCGTATGTCATTGCTTTATCTCATGGATTTAGGCGCCTTGTGAAATGGACTTCGTGGCATGATTCTTTTCTTTAACCGGCCATCTAGGTTAGGATGCAAAGGCATGTCCACATGTGTCCAACACTGGACGCACTAGCGTGCCATTAGGGCAGATGTCCTATTGATATCGAGGACTTGTGATGAGGGTAACAGCTGGAAGAATACAATGCTAGTCACCCATCAATATTTTTACACCTTGTTATCATGGATGGATAAGATGCACCTTCATCTCTTCTACAGTATAGACACGATCGAGGTCAATAGAACCATAGAAATGGCTAGAAATATGCAAACGTTGCTGTTGTCCTTTGCAATGAAGAAAAACATTTGCCACCCATCTTGACAATGGATAGGCGATCCTGCTGTGCTGACGTGGTGATGGAATCGATGATGCAGAAAAGGGACAAGCTCGTTGGGTTTCTTTTAGCTCTATGAATAGAATACACGTAGTAGAAAGTAGCATGTGTCATGGAAACACTGTGGAGTTTTCTCTCTCCTCTGGTGTATGATATTGCAAATTCTAAGTCTGAAAGATGAGTGCATACATCATTGCATATACACTGTTCTTCGACCTAAATTTAACGGACGAATGTATGATTTAGCGGTATTTTGATGGACCCATACCGTTCTTTACATCGAGGTAAGAGATTTTTCTTCCCTCGAAGACTATCTCAGGCTGTTGATTTGGATACTATGCCGTCGAAAATGACTGCGGCTCTCATGGCTCATACTCAACCATGTTGACAGCGATTTGTTCTTGAAGAGTATTTCTCTTCCAGCAGAATGACTACTATAGTACGCTACTGCATACCGTACCGTACTAGAGTGGTTGATCACATCGTTATTGAACAGTATCTTCTAGGCCACCGTACTTACCTCTAATCTCGATGCATTTCCATTCAAGAAATCGTAGATCTCCATACTCCAACTACTCCATTGGCCGTCCATTAAGGAGGCCATGGATTTATTTAGTTTATAAACTAGCCATGTTGCCATTTTTATTTTTGGAGATGAGGTCATGCTTGACCGCTGGTACGGTACCAGCGACAGGGTACGATACGGAAACGCGGACAGGCAGACTGCAATGAACCAGTAATGAGGATGATGATACAGCCCAGCGAGTCTGATACTGTGACTATCATGCGAATGATTGATGCTGGTACTAGCGGCTCCGTGTACAGTATAAAGTACTGTAAACTGGATACTGTAATGACAGTACTATGTATCGATACTGTCCCGGTCCCGGTCCGGACTAATCGAGTCCCTAGACTTGGCCGGAGCGATTACTTCTTCCAATCTAGCGCAAAATGGCTGACAAATATCAATACGATTGGCGCCAGGATAAGTCGTTATTCCAGGCTCCAGGTAATGAAATGATAATTATAGTTAGCGTGTTTGATAGGCAATACAATGTCCATCTCGGTTCGAGTAGAGTGTATGCATGTTTTAGACTTGACATGGTTTGATTATAAGGTGGAGTGGATAGTCCTTCGACTCCGTTTGGACAACAACAATAACAACAATTAGGCTTGACCGTAGTAAAACAGATAGAAAAGAGGGCCTAGCGTTCAAGAATCATCATTCTAGGACAATTTATTCTTCGATTGCTATCACAGTGATCGATCAACTCCATTATACGATATAGTAGACATCAAATAAGGCACTAGGATTCACTATCGATGGAGATAAATGAAAGTAATCATGTTCATCAGTAGGGCACCAAGAGTGCTTTTACCTTACGCAAGTAGGATCGGTACTTACTATCGAGTCGACTTATTGACAACCCAACTAGGATAGAGTTGTCTACCCACTGGAAAGCGTAGACTTACTAAACTGGCAGCTTATAACTTAAAATGTCCATCTACCCATGTTGTAGCTCAATCCATACGAGTGGAAATGAGAATAGAATAAACAACAACTTGCGACCACGTCATCACACTATCACAGTGCTATCCAAATCTCTCTTGAAAAATGGCATCAACTATGCAATTAGACCCAATAGTGAAGCCCATGGAATGGCCCTCTCCATGGAATTGCCTAGATAGAAATTCATCAACGTCAACGCTGTATGCCTACATTATGTTGTTTAGCTTTTACTCTCCCCACAATCCGGCCCCAAATCCATTCTCAGACCTGCTGCATTAAGCATGTGAAATGGCAATGATTATTATTTTCCATTTCCTTCAACTTGTTCTCCATGACCGATTGCTTTCCTTTCATGATTATATAATAAGGCAAGGTTGAACACTTGAAATGATTTCCTTTTACTTCCATGTCCTTCCTGAAGTAAAGGGACCTTTGTGAAGGTTGTTAGAGTCATGATTCATTTAAAATTGATCATCATGTCTGATTTATTGTATCAATGGAATTTAAAACTGTCCAAGACCGTCAAGCGAGAGAAAGTAAAACATGCTGTTTTCCTTTCTGTCAGTTTATCCGATCAGTTTGCTTCGGATTTATCCATTTCATCGATCCTTATTTCTCTCCCATTTTATCAAATGTTTTACTGTTAAAATATCAATCAAGAGACTTTCAAGTTGAAGTGCATTCTCCGTATATAACGTTCACTGTGTAATACAATCTCCATCAACTTATATTTGATGTTCCCTCTTTCAGTCACTACTTCCGATAGTGCTCACTGGTATGATGTAGCACCAAACCTAACGGATACCGCAAAGGAGATCAGCACGGAACATAGACTAGCCGACATGATGGGCCAGGAAAGAGAACAACAGACACGTTTACAAGCTGATGAAGCATTATTGAAAAAATTTGAACTCGAGAAGCAAGTCAGGTGTGTAGAAATGTTGACCCACCAGTCAATGGTAGTTTACATTCCTCTTGGAAGCTACCTTTCAGAATGAAATAAATATTTTATTACTTCTCGTTAACACTATTATTTAGAGAACGCCGAATCGACCACATACAAACTGAAATTGATACGGAGATAAGGTAACTATTGAATAAATTGACGTAAGAATGGATAAATCCAGTCGTTTGACCATAATGCTTCTTACCAAAGTGACCTTGTGATTTCAACTATCTGGTCTCATCGATACAGTCTATGCCGTAGTTATTGAATACTGTCAACTGCAAAAAATTTTAGAATAGTCTCATTATACGATCTGGCTTGTGATTAAAATGATACAGAAAGTAGCGTAATAATCATGATTAAAACTTATGTAAATATTAATAAGTAACAGAGTACACCATGTTCGATTGTAGTCTAGCCTGAAAAACGATATCGTCATAAGTGATTGTAATGATTTAAGCTAATTACAGTAGTTATGTCTAAGAGTTAAGAACCCATACACAATCCTGATAAACGGTTTAGGGTACAGAAATTGGGCCATCCCAAATAATTATAACATCTTTTAAATTACAGGAGTTTTAATGAAAAATCCGATAAAGATGTCGAGGAATGGATAAAATCGCGCTATGTTGAAGCCGATGCGGCTGCATCTAGATATGCTTCTAAAACTGAAAGTAAGAACTTTGTTAGTTGATTCAAGTTTCTTTTCTAGAAGTTACATCATAGCTTAATGCACTACGACTTAAATGGTACACACAAAACTCGGTACATTTTAATATGTGATGTTGAATGTGCTACAATAGGTCAAGGAATGCGAGAGAAAGAGAATGGTCAGTATTCAATTAGAGTATTTTATGATACACTTTGTAAAGTAATATCACCATTGCTGGGAAACTTTTAAATAAGTACTGAATGCTTTTTGTAAAAATTGTTTCATTACATATTTAATGAATACCACTTTCTCATTTTCTTATCATGTACTAGCAAAAATAGCAGAGTCATCCTCTTCTGAAGTAGTGAATGCTCCTTCTGCACCACCTTCATGTATGTGTTTTGGGAGTATAATTTGAATTGACGTTCGATATCATAATGCAATACTTTAACCTTAGATTCTGAAATTGAATTCGAAAGTCTTGTTGCAAAAAGCCATTATCCAGTCGAATTTCAGTCCCATAAGTCAATTGAGGTAACATAGCAGGCGTAGCATCATGAGAGCTATGCGTTAATCCTTTTCGTAATAGAAGCTAGTTACAGTACATAGATTTGATTTTAAAATATGGCAACAAACTTGTTTTCTTTAGGGACAATATGCTGCTTCTATACGGTTGCGCCCATTAAATCCTGACGCGGATAATCTGTAAGATATCCAAGTTATATTCTTTGAGATAAATGATAAAAACTTGTGATTACAACAGGCTAGTACTGGCATGTATAATAATTGATTTATTTTATTTTATTTCTTGCTTGTATTCGGTACCGTTAGTTGTTGGAAATGTTACTCTCAGATTGAAGACAAGGCTGCTTGCGAAGATGCCGAAGGCAATATTTTGCACCAAGATTGCTACTTTGACATAAAATGTAAGTATTGAGATTTTTTGTATAGACTGTAATTACTAATAGCATGTATATTTGCAATTAGTAGCCTATAGTATGTAACAGTACGAATTGAAATGAACGGTTTGTATATATATATTCCTTGATGAAGTAGATTTTTTATAACTCCCAATATTTATATTGCTATCGTAGTTCCCAAGTGCGATTGGTGCTTTTACAAAATAAGTCCTGCGGAAGATAAGGTTCGACTTATACTATTAATAACATTTTTAGCTTATCGAGAACAAATTTAAAACAGTTATTATTAATTGCATTGAATTAAGGAAGAAGGAGTGAACTTAAACTTTGTTATTTGTAAAAAAGAAGACGAGTATTGCACTTTTCTCAAATGATTGTAAATTATCGCTAGGTAACAAGTGCTCATCCGTGCATTTTATAAATATTTTTCAGCCTTCGTTATTTAGGCCCTCTGACTATACGATAATGTACAATGCGGAACTGTTAAATAAGATAATAAAAAAAGCTATGATTACTTTTCATCAGGACCGGTAACCTTTTCGCGAATTGAGATCTACCAGCATAGTTTATCGTCAGACCTTTTGTAGTTACTGTAACTCGTATACAAGTGGGAACGCAACATTACTCTTTTCGTATTTTCAACCTACTATGAAGTAACTAGTTTTAATTACCCAGTGACTGACCCTAGTTACGGTAAAGGAATGACCACAACATAAAAATTATTATCCTTGAGTTACTGTACTGTATACATGTTAATAACAATCTGTCGGAGCTCATAGTAATGTTATGTATCAGCAATATTCCTTAGAATCTGTACTGCAATCATTTCAATTGGGATCTTACGTACACACTAATTGAAACATTTTTTTTCTTGATAAATTTTGAAGAAAATTTCGGGATTTTGGTGCAAATTCGAAGGTAAAAGATATCATCGAGAATGCTATGAGAAATATTCAGGTCCAAGGTCGGTTAGAAGTTAATTTATTACTTTCTAAATCCTTATCACCCTAACTAGTAATAATTGTGTCGACATGATTTATTTATTTAATTCCGCCTTCAATGGGCTGTATGCGTTATCATTATGATTATGGTTATTGTCAGAGGCTATTTTCTTGCTGATGAAATGTATTGTAAAAATTAGGTGTACCGTTTGTTTCGATGTCATTATTACAAGACCTACTCAGGATTTCTGTGGCAAATTTATTCAAAACAATGATAAGGTATTGCCTGATTTGAAAACCTACCGTAAATTCTATATTGAAAACATTTGGATTGATATGTAAATTCTAATGCATTATCAATATGTATTTTTAAGCTCTACCATTTGGAATGCTACAAGAAAAGAAAGCTAGCAGAATTGAAAGCACGCCGAAGTTAGAAACGGAAGCTCGATTATTATAAAGGGATTATCATACCTATAGCAACAATTTGCTGATGTACTATACGTTATCACGGAGGAATATTACTTTCTTGCCATCATTTAGATATTGTGCCCATGGTACAAACAAACAGTATTACTCGGGGCTGTAATAATATTGAATATGATTGATTATTTTCAATTTAGCATCAGTGATTGATCCTATTATAATTTATTATTTCTAGTTGGCGCTACGCGTCGATATCATTGCTGTTGAGTCGAAAATATAAAACAGGGAACCTGTAAATTTTAATTCATTGAAAAACTTCTAGCCTCTCACTATTGTAAACTTGAGAATAAAGATTTATGCGTGTGCTAGTATGTATCCATAGTAGTGATTTTAGAGTGTAGTTACTGTAGCTAATTTCAATATGATAACGTAGTATTGTTGAATACAGTTGTCATTTCTTCTATCGTGTAATATACTTGGACCAATGACCTTGCATTTTAATTCAATGATGAATCCACTTTTTATGAGTATATAAGACTCTTGCTGGTCGACAATAGTAATAACATTGTAAGGCTAGCGCCTATCATCATGCTCTGTATAACTTTCATTTGTAATTATCGATAGGAAATAATATATGAGTAGTCAGACTACAGTTTTTTAACTTAATTTTAATGGAATAAAAAATTTAGAATAAGTTGAGCTGTTTGCGTTGGTTTCGGGAAGGCATGCACAATTGAATTCTCCTGTCCTGGCAAAATTTTTTATATTAATGGTGGAAATTTGAACTTTATTAAAGCATACGAACCTACTTTAAGTGATCGTTCCCCTCTCGTAACTATACAATACTGAATTAATAATATTTAGCTGTAGTAATGTTGCATCTGCTTACGTGTCTTTAAGTCCAATTAATACACATAGGATCAAATAACTATTAGCTATCGTGTTATAAGCGTTTGTCTGATAGTTCAAAGTGTGTAGCTCAATGCATCCATTACCCATTTCCTAATAATTGTTTTATGAATAAACGTGCTAATACGAAGGCGCTGGCTTGTGTCAACAGGTAATTTTATTACTACAGTATAACTCTACTGTACTGCTTGTCGTTGCTGATTGTGTTGGCAGCCATTAACTGTAAGTTTAAGCTTAACACATAACAGCTTTGCAAGATCCAAGATCTAATGATCATTAGCTTTGCTACTCACAAAGCTATATACTTTACAGTACTTCCAAAAGCAACTACTACAACAGTGTTTTCCTGTCAGCATACAGAAACTACAGCTAGCTTGATAAATAAATACCTAAAATGATTCTGTAGAGAAATCAACTACTTCCCAAATTATATCAAGGTAGCGTGGAATAAATCGTATCCAGAGGATATGGTTTAATGGCCATTTTAACAGCGAACCATCACTAGAAACAGTTTAAACTAGCTATCGATAAAGATGCCATCAGGTGGTTTTGATGGACTTGGCTAAATGGCTCACTTTGCATTAAATTATGCAAATTAAGAACTGTATAAAAACAAGTCTATAGTGTTATACTATACCGCTAGATATTATAGCATAGGGATAATACTGTTTAATAACAGGCTGTGATAACTTGTAATAACACTAAGTAATGTATTTATATATCATACTGGATTCAGATTTAGTTATAGCCAGCAGCAAAGTAATCTAGCATCGGCGGACTTGATCGCTTACAATTTTACTGTGTTTACTCATTTTAGAACTACATTGATTTCATTTTGCTAGCCGAAAATGATGAAAGCTGCACAAGTTGTAGAGGCAGGTGCCCCTCTCCAACTTCAAGAAGTCCCACTGCCTAAAGCCACTCATGATGAGGTTGTGATCAAAGTGATTTCTGTAGGCGTTTGCCATAGTGATCTGCACTTATGGGATGGTGGTTACGATCTTGGTGAAAAAGGATTCATGAAATTTGTAGAGAGAGGAGGCCATTATCCAGTAACCCCTGGCCATGAAATTGTTGGTAGTGTCCATCAGATGGGTGATGAAGTAGTTGATTTTGCTGTTGGGGATAATGTTCTTGTATTCCCTTGGATTGGTTGTGGTCAATGCCCGATTTGTCAAGCGGGCGATGACAATGTTTGCGATAAACCGAGATCGATTGGCATTTTTTGCAATGGTGGTTATGCTGAATATGTTATTATTCCAAGTTATAAATATCTTGCTAAGATTTCTGGTGTTGATTTCCATGCTGCCACATCGCTTGCTTGCTCAGGTTTAACTGCCTATAATGCAATCAAGAAAGCGAATGTAAGATCTCCAGAATATTTGGTCATCATAGGTACTGGTGGGCTGGGTCTGATGGGCATTCAATTGGCGAAAGCAACAACTCAAGCGAAAATCATTTGCGTTGATATCGATGATCAAAAATTAAATATAGCAAAGAATTTAGGCGCTGATTTTATTGTTAACTCTAGCGATGGCAATGCAGTGCAGAAAATATACTCCATCTGTCCTAAAGGCGTCGATAGTGTTGTCGATTTTGTTAACGCCTCTCCGACGGCAAAGATAGGATTATCCATACTTAAGAAGCGTGGGAATTTAGTGCTTGTAGGATTATTTGGTGGTTCTATCGAAATCTCTTTAGTGACAATACCACTAAAGACCTTAATTATTCAAGGCGCTTACACAGGTACTTATAGGGAAATGGTAGAGTTGCTACAATTGGCCAAAGAGGGGATCATTAATCCAATTATTTCAAAGCAGTATTCTTTACAAGAGGCTAATACCGCATTAAATGACTTAAAACAGAGGAAGATTGTAGGGCGAGCAGTAATCATCCCATAACGCTGTAACAAGTGACTTTCTTTTACCAATTGGCTATTAATCGTTGATACTTTACTTCGTCTAAAACGTTTAGCAGAGGATGATTCTGGGCTGGATGATAATCATCTTGTACTGTCTGCATACGTAGAATTAATGATAGTGTTGCATAATGGAGTTGTCATATTATGCGGTATAAAGTCCATGTTCTCGTATTATCCTCCTCCTCCTTATATTAAGAATATACGTAACTACTCTCTACTGGCGTTAGTAAGGTTGCCATTTAGATACTTCAATTTTCAGTGGATAATGATTTGGGTAGTTGGTAGATGACAAATTTTAAACCATTTCCTAAGCTTAACAAGCACAAGCTAGGTGATTCATAAATTCATGATCACTAAATTACGGTACTACAATGTTTGGCTAAGCTACTATTGCTTATTGTTACCATGTCCTATCGAAGAAATTGAGCCATATTGAAAGCGTTCTTTTACTGACAGACAAGTTTATTATATTGTACATACATATACCCTTAAATCTTGCAATTGTAATAAATCAAAAATGGCAAATACCAGCATGATTATGGCATGGCAGGGATCGCAGCAACAGCGAGATTATCCAATAATTATAATCTGTTCATTATTTTTATATGTATTAATAGCTATCTTTGTCATTCTTAATTTGATTCTCTATCAATTATTGCATGCAAGAAATTTTATATGATTTCTATTTCCTAATTTGCTACCACTAGATGATAGCAAAGCCACAACGCTATTTGTACATCCTTTTTCAATCCTAACAGTACTATGGATTCCATTTGAAGAACGAATTAATGCATACGTTGGTCTATTGCAGGATAAATTTTTATGTTGAACATATAATCTTGATATTTCTAAATTACTTGTATCTGCTACAATAAATAATAATCGAACTCTGATATTATTAAGTTAGTTTCTGTGTGATATATATAATTTACGAGATATTTCATGCCATGGACACGTACGTGTAGAATCGAGTACAGACTTATAGGCAGGATAAAAATAAATGAGTGGCAGTTACGGTAGAAGATGGAAGATTCCTTTATCCTACTCGTATAGTTGAATATTTCCGGTGAACAGTAAATGGATAAGAACTTACCTTTCTATAGCTAGAATTAGCTGTAATTAGTTGTAAAATAATACGGTTATACTGTTGATACAACGACAATGCTGCTAAACATCACCAGCGTTTTATTAATTTCTGATAGTCTTTCATATTGGTGTAACAGATCTGGCAAAATCATGTCTAATTTGTTGCAGCCAATTAGTTACAGGTAAGCACTGGTAAGATGTAACTATACACAATTTTTAAAATTGCTGAAGGGTACATGATAACTTATGTTAACACGCTACACGTATGATCAAATCCAATCATGACATTAATGTGTTGTAATTGAAATGTGCATACATAAACATTTACAGACCATAGCAATAGGAGGCAATCGTTAATTCACACTTTTTAATACCCAGAAATTGAAAATTTTGTAACATACAGTACAAAGGTTTCTGAGTGAATTCCCCTTATCAAAGGAGATTAAGTATTCGACATATTATGTATAGGTTTATTTATTTAGATATAATTTTTGTGATGATAAATTGAACTGTAATGTTAGATTGAATTAGAGTTGAGAATTGTGAAACAATCTCAGCAATACTATATTATGTAATTAATAATATCAAAACTCGAATACAATAAGGTATAGGTTATGTTAATTATTATCGCGATGACAGTATCCTACATTGATATTACGTTACAGTACGAGAATTTTATCACATACAGTACATCCATTTGAATTTGTGTGCATCCTAAATAATACAAGTGCTTTCAGTGGTCAAGATATTACAGTAAATATTTCTTTCATTGAGGCAAGCTATCTTTCATGACTAATTCTACGTTCCATATCTGAAAAATAAAAAAAGAAAGGAAGATTAAAAGACTTTCTAAGTGGTTACTGCTTGTTACCGATTTCCCATACTTTAATTGATCTATCGTTACTGCAGGTAACAAGCAAATGCTTGCCATGATGGTAATTCATGGAAGAAATGCCACATTTCGTGTCAAAAAATGTGGCTAACGTTTGCCGACTGAATTAAATAGACAAAAGCATTTCAAGTATTAAGAATACAGTTTACTAAAAATTATTGTGAGATATACAATAAAAGTATTATAAATATTCTAGCTTACTCTGCGTCAGTTATGGTTTCATAACAATCGTTGCATACACGAACTGGAAATTCAAACCCTAGGGATGGCATTACAGACGTGTTTTCACTGCATTTGGCGCAGACTGCTATACCACATTTGCGACAATGATGCTGCAAATATCATTAAAACTAGCAGTTAAATTTAAAGATTTACAACAAGCCACTTCTGAGGCTTTATGTATTGCCATATTAATAGCAACCGTTCAATCTGTAGGATCGCGCTAGAATGCAGATATTGACAAATGTTCAAGATACCTGTCGAAATCCAATCTTTTTTTCACTCCACATTTGCTTGACATTCCAAAAAAATGGAACATCGCAACGCTGACATGAATCAGATTCAAGCCACTCTTTCGTCTTTAAGTAAGAATAAATGAAAACAAAACTGAATTGGTTGTGAATGAGTGGATCGGCAATCTTGAAATAGCGATATTATAATTTAAATTGATGGGCAGTACTATTGCTTTACATACCTCAACTCTGTCTACATCCATTTTCCATGTAACTATGAAGCCATCATCGGCAACTGAAATTAGCTTGCTTGCCTCGCGAACATAGTGGAGTGCCCGTATTTTATCGCTTTGGGTAATAGCAAGTGATCCATTGTGAGAGTAAGTCCAGATGAGGAGGAGGCCATCAGTACAACATGTAATGAGAACGGTAATTTATGTAAGTCAATAAAGTGCTCTTTAAAACACCCAATGATGGCAGCTTTTTCTACGTTATGCTACAAACCCGTGTCCATGCAATTGGTAAACGGTGCCTTTTCTACCTCCGATATCCCAGACCAGAATAGTTCTGTCAAAGCTTCCTGAAAATAATAACTGTTTATCGGGATCCCAAGCTAAACAGCGAATACTGCCTATAACCGAATAGGAAAAATACGTCGTATAATTCAGCTGCAATGCTGGCCATTTCATATTTCAAATCATATCATCAAGTATAATTTGCAATCCAGAAGTAAATGATAAGACTTTATTATTATTATCTTGTCTCAGATACCTGAATGGCCTTGTAACGTTGTGACGGGCACCAAACTAGAATTATTGTCTTTAACTCGTAACACAGCGATGCTGCCGCCATAATCACCAACAAAGATATGCTTACTATCTTGATCAAATCTGTAATTTCAGTTAAGGCAAAATAGACTGCGGCATGATCTCCATGTTACGCTTATTTTTAAAACTACGTAAACGTAAAACATTATGGGATATCAGTTCAAGTTCTACCCATATACAGCCTATTGCAATAAATATCAACATTCTTGAACTCTATTTCTACGCCGAAAATTAAGTATCGAGAGATTACTTGGTGGAAATTCTATCACGGGCGCTATACATAAACTTCAACTAAAATGTCTAATTCTAAGTTAGCTATCTGTGGTAGATCTTGAGAACGTCAACTTTAAAAAATAACTGCTATACAATTTATTATTGGATGGATACTCAAGAGCAATGCACCAAGCATTAGCCTGATAACCGCCTAAACGTCGACCAGTTTCACAGCAATGCCACTGCATATATTTGTCTCGACTGACACTTAACAACCAATTTAAATTCGGACTGTAAATTATTCCATTAACACGTCCTGAGTGGGCTAAAGAGAATAAACGAAATATTCTTTATATTGTAATAGAGAGAGAGAGAGAGAGATGTCACAGCACTGTCCTAATTACACTTGTCTATTCGATATCTCTATGTATGTTCAATTACAGTGGGCTAACCATCATAAATAAAATCAATTGACTTCATCGAGTATATGGCAATGTTATTCGCAACTTCTACAATTTACTCAATAATATTAAGGACCGTGATATACATGGGGTAATTACTCTTTGCTCGTTAGCATATGGGATTGCAAGAAAGCAATGAAGAAATTCATCTTACCGGCATAATCACGCTTGTGAGTTATTTTGTTGAAATCTTCGGATAATTCAAATTCCTGTATGAATAGTGCAAATAAAAGGCGTCATTAACTGCACAATTACAAGCTATTAACTAGTACAACATTAGGATTAAAATTTACTGCGGAATGTCTCATTTTCCTTTAGCTAAAGTAAACGAGCGATTGATGGGATAAATCAGACCGTCAAACAATAGCATAAAGCGGTTGCAACGGACATTTATTCCTCTATCCATTTCAGCAAGAAAGATACACATTTATGCTTTTGTTCATGATGGATGAACGTTTTCCACTATGCTGAGCAAATAGACTGTCATTCTAATTAATGTAGGTCTTGTTCAATTCGATCTGACTTTCTAATTAGTAAATTTTGCTGTTAATAATGCTCTAATGAAAAGTGGGCATGAGTTACTTCAATAGTAACTACAGACATCAAATGATGCATAAAATTGTATTCTTGTTCGTTTGCATAGCTCTATTTGTATGAGGGAATAATCCATTCAAGTGACGATAGCATCATTAGCGAGCAATGAATTACAACATCGGCACTGAATGTTTTTGACATGATGTTTACTTTTCAGTCAGCGTAAGTTTACAGCACTACAAAATGAAACTATTCATTCTTGTCAACTAAAAATCAACGGATCCATTTTTGTCATGATACGCTCACAAAATGTAGTTAGGGTTTTATGCATACGTGTATATACAGTCAGAATTTGAGTTCTAGGTTGATCTGATCCATCGGTTAGAATGGAGTACAGTTGGTGAAGATGATCAGTTAAGCTTTGAATACATCAAGGTTACCCTTTGTATTCAATTAATCTTACTTAGCGTTACTATTAATAAACATTTTTCATTATAATGGGGCTTGAACTAGTCCGTGATTGAAAATTGAGAGAAAAAGGTTGATTCAATTGAGCAATTCTTACCGAAATCAATCCGGTCTCGATGCCACAAAATAACTTTCTATCTTGACTGCTGAAATAGAGAGCGGTGACAGGAGCTAGATAAAAATAAGGAAAGCAAGATTGAGAATAATTTGATCAAGCTAAATCATTGGCTGTTGATAAGCTAAAAATGATCATGATAGGACTACTGTAGGGATGTAGTATTTCTAAAAGCAATCAATGTATATTTTTATTCCTTGGTAAGATAAAGTACGAGTATAAACAGAACCAATATTAAATTGGAAACTTTATCCATAGCAAAACAAACGCCAGTAAGGCGGATAAAAAGAGTGATGGCGACGATAAGCCCTAAAGATAAGCAGAAAAATGTCGCTAATGATGCTACCTACCGCTCATGGTATGACAAATACTCGGCCAATATTGACCACTGTCTCGCTTGAGCCAAACCATGACATTGCTAGCAAGAATAAGAAAGATTGATTAACATGAATACTGTCAAATCATCGTTGGGAGAGACATTTTATTGCGATAATACAATATCATCATCGTTGTCATCGCAGGTTTCGAAGAATACAAATCAAAATGAATTAAATTTCCTTTCAATGGCTCTTTGCATTTTTGAACTGTATTCTCTCATCAAATCGATTCTACATTATCTACAGTCGATAGGAGAGTTCCACATGGACAATCGTTTGACTATCCCCATGGATTGTAAGTTGAAACTCGATAAGATGAGAAGGAAAGTGCAAGTGCAATGGAGGTTAATCTGTATCCGATAGGGCACTTCATGATTGCAGTAGAGTAGTAGGAAAATGAAGACCAGTCTTAACATTAGTCTCTCTTTCTAGTCGATGTTGGTCGTGGTTGGAATATTTCTACTCTATCACCGCTATTCCAACTACTTGGTATTTTCATGGTAGGAAATGAGATCCGTCTGGATGGATCTCGTATCTTGACCATGGTGGAGAATCCTGTATGGACTTATGCCGAGTAGAATACTATTGTACAACGAAATGGGATAGTAGAAACAAAAATGATGATGCTTCGTTCTATCCATAGAGTCGTTCAGGCCATTGACCGACATCTTACCAGTCTAAAATACTTTGACAAAGGTTGGAAATGCTATCTTGATGGAGATACTAGTCGTTTTGAGTCCAGCAATACTTCCATCAACAAGACAAAACTACTGGATTACAGTAAGGCATAGAAAAATAGCCTTGGCATCACAACAGAATAGCAAGACGACACAATCGACACAAGAATTGTCGTTTGCGATTCCCCCCCCGCCCAAGTTAAATCACGATCACTCCAACTGCAGTCACTTAAACTGGGCGATGATGGATCCCTACTACTCCTCCTTAAAACGATTATCCAGTGGAACTATTCCTACTCAGCATCGACCATTGCTGGCAGCCATGATTGAAAACATTGCCTACCGATCATCACTAGCGCTGATGACACCATCTTCTTCGGGTATAATAACTGCTGCATTGAGGGTACCGTTGATCCCTTCCAGTTTATTCAACAGTTCGGGATTATTCAAACGAATTCCATCAATGACTGCGGTAGCCATTACTGCAGCAATAACTCAATAATCAATAGCAAAAGACGATGCAAATGGAGCCAAAAATGGGAAAATCACTTGGGCTTTGGACGATTTCTTTCTATGTTGACTTTTTCCCCTTGATGCAGGCACTATACCACGCTTGATTCGCTAGCGAGTATCCTCGCCTTGACTAGCCGATCGGACGATGGATGGAGTGGAAACCACCTTCCCAACGACCTCTTTCATACAGTACCCTCTCAGTGTTCCTCACCACTGCCTGCCGGCCTTAGCGATGACGTATTCCATCAACCGATCCCAAACAGTACTCGCAACTGGACCTCTTTTTTTGTATACAGAATTTTTATTGTGACTAAATGGTTAGCTTATTCAACTAATTATTGATTACTGTTTGAGTATGTAGATACCAAAAACGAATGGAGGAATATAGTCTACAGTTGACGCTGATACTAGGGTGAAGGAATTCATGGTTGATATACAGATAGTGAGTAAAAGCTTATTACTACTCTAGTTCTTGACTACTGTTTGAGTAGAGAGACTACCGATAATCTTTGGGTACCAGTACCGTTCCGGAACGGCTCATCGCATCCATGCAGTACTGTACACAGTATAGCGATTTCCATCTCTCTGTCATGTCCTAATGCTCAATCAAGAATAATGATAATAATAATAATAATAACAGTAGTAATAGTAGTCGTAAGTCTTAAGTGAGTAGCATTGACCGAGGCTAATGTTTGAGTAGAGAGACTACCGATAATTTTCGGTACCAGTACCGTTCCGGAACGGTTCATCGCATCCTTACAGTACTGTACTGTACACTGTATGTACAGTATACAGTCCTGAGAATCGATTTCCATCTCTCTGTCATGTCCTAATGCTCATGGCTCAATCAATAACAATAATAATAATAATAATAATAGGAATAATATTAATAACAGTAGGAATAGTAGTCATACTGTATGTCCTAAGTGAGTAGCATTGACCGAAACTACTGTTTGAGTAGAGTGAATACCGATAATCTTCGGTACCAGTACAATACTGGAACGGTTCATCGCATCCATACAGACAGAGAGATGGAAATCGATATACAGTACTGTACTGTATATCGATTTCCTTCTCTCTGTCATGTCCTATTGCTCATTGCTCAATCAATAATAATAAATAATAATAATAATAACAGTAGCAATTGTAGTCGTATGTCCTAAGTGAGTAGGATTGACCGAGTTATGTTAACAGAGTAGAACACATGTACAATTGCATTAGTAGCATTTGGTATTCGAATATTGCACTTGCAATACTTGATGTATTTTGTGCAGTAATAAGATTTTGAAAATTAGTTTTATCACTGCGAAATCAAGGTTAAAAAGTTGAGAGAAACGCTTAGTTATGGGATAGCTTGCATGGGACTTGTAATGAGAAAGAGATGCCCGTACACTGGCATACTCAGATCCAATTGCATAGCACATGGATGCTATTTGCCTAGCCATTTCTTCTCGTATGACTACAGGGATAGGCATTGTATTATACAGTAGCATATCAAAAGAGTGACAAGCTTCTCGGCGAGAAGCTAAATAGAAACACGCTATTCTGGAGATAAGCACAAGTTAATTACTACATTTGCAGCCATTCAGCTTACTGTGGATGTGAAAGATACACACTGTTTCTGATATCCATGTATTCAACTGGATAGACAGATAGACGAAATTCAGTGGTAGTGCATGGCTTTTCCTGAACCCTAATTAACGCTGACTTTATAAAGAAACACCATTTTATACTGCACACGATCACTGTATTCCCAAATACTGAATTACTGTCATGAGCTGAAATCATGGCATCAGCCATACGACGTACATTGAAGTCGAATAGAAGAAAGTATCTATATCGAGGATCAGTCTATCCATTACAACGATATTAACAGATCTTTATTTTCTTTCCAATGGCTAGCGTAGATGACCAACGCTTTCAAATAGTGAGCGTACTCGGTTGTATGTAGAATATCGCGATACGTAAGGCATTGAAAGTATAATCTACAAGATAAGGATATCCTGCGATTTTTTTCATCACGCTACAATTATACGACAGTAATGATATAGTATATATTTTATTCAGGAACAGCACTTTCATGCACCCATAAATTATAATATGCTCCCAATAAGCAATCATTAAAGATAGTAGACAATGTATTAATAGATTCCATTTCATTTATATATAAGAGAATTACATAGGTCAATACATTGATATCACAATGTCATTGCAATAAAAGCAATTGATTCTTTCACTTACTATCTACTTCACATTGAGGTCAATATTACGTGTATGTACGTATTAGCCTCATAAAATAAGGCACTTTTGCAGCTTGTCGGCCTATTTTTGATTAATCTGAAATTCCGAAACAGACTTTAACATTTCCTCACTTACAATAGGCTGAAATAACTTATCTCTTTTATTAAAAACATAACAAGTTGCATCTTTAATATCAAACCACAACGAGTATAGCTTTACGGTTCCGGCTGCAATTTTCTCCTTCATAAAGCTATAAGAATTGACGTGTAAAAGTTGCTGCAACGTATTAATCTGTTGGCAGTATTACAAGTAAATGATTCAATATCGAGAAAAAATCCACGATGCGACAAGCTCAAAGTATTGTGGATGAATGCAGCAGTCTATAAGTTATCGTAATTTTTAGTGCTTGATGTTCATTTTGCAGTAAATACGAGCAGAATGATCATAATATCCATTTCGAGTGTACCTGAGATAACTGGTCCTTTGGCAATAGGTTTTGGTTAATATTAGCTTCGAATTTTAAACCGTTTTCATTAAATTCTAAATGCAATGGTTGGTCGCTATTCGATCGATCAACGAGTGTCGTCTTTTCCCATTTAGTGTAAGTCTGACTAGCAAATCGATAGATCCAGTCTAACACAAACGATGATTCACTAGGCGCAGTTCCGCCTAAAGAGTGCAATCCGTCCATCGCCTGCAATTACGAATTTATTAATTAGTTCTAAACGCTGATCATTTATATTGATCTTTCACAGGATAAGAGTGTAGCCAAGGCTCTCCAAGCTTCTAAAATCAACAGTCAATGTTTAATCATCCTATCATTTCGGTTACTGATAGTCAATTCTAATATTATCGTCCTACAGCGCTTGCAAAGGATTGTTCTATTGCGTAGACGTTAACAGTAACAACATGATATTACCACAATCGATGTCATCGCTTAGCCAGATATGATTGGCGAAGTGAGTATCCCACTAGAAATGCATGAGGATACTAACCTTACAATCGGAGTGTCCACACACCACAACAGAGCTGACTTGATTGCGAACACAAGCTAGTTCTAAAGCAGCAGCCTCTGCTGGTGTCCAACGTTCGTATATAAGTTTAGAATGGGGAACAATATTGCCTGCATTTCTAACAATGAAACTTTCACCAGGCGCAATGGAAGCAATGTTGGATGGAAATACCCGACTGTCCATGCAGGTAATGAAAATGCAGCTTGGCTATAAAGGCAGAGAAGATTGATAACCAATTAAAAAGTATCCGGTCTAAGTATCGATTGAAATGACAGTATAGGCATTACTGAAGTTGTAAGTAATTAGCATGGACTGTCTTCTAGTGGTCCAATGGTCAATAGTCATGATTATAGTACATTCTAATAGCCCAGTTATCCACATGTTGTGCACTGTTCTGTACAGTATATTCCATCTTTTAATTGAAGTAAGATACTGATGGGCACAAAATACCAAGTTTTGCAGAACTTTGGCTTGTAGCTCAACATGTCTACGGAATAGCATGGCACTAACACTGTTACTTTACTGTATTGTTATCCCATTGAATTATCTGTTATAATTGAACTAAGTTCTGTGAGGTAGGTATGCTAATCCTGTTGATTGCATCAACTGGTGATCCTTGTACGCTGGCTAGAACAACTGCTCGATATGATCATTTCAACCACTGTACAAGTCGATTTGTCCACGTCAACGGAATCACTTGCCGTTGCAATTTATCCAGCAAAAGGGTATGCAACTTACCTGCACTTTTTCAGCTACCTGAGCATACAGAGTCTTATTGGCAGAACTTAAAGAGGCTGAATACCGTAAAACCCCACGAATGACTTTCTCAATCATCTTTGATACAGTATTTCCAACTGGCGTGGTAGTCCCTAGAATCTGTAGATGGAACTAACGTACAGTAAGCTTGCGAGATCGATCATCGATCGGATTCGATTTTGCATCAAGTTTGTTCTCTAGTCAACATTGCAATGGTACCAGTACAGTGTACAGTACTGTACGTACAGTATTGTACTGTATGATGGTAACGATGGCAAAGTAGTGTACACTGTACAGTACAGTACGGTACAATGTACAGTACTGTACAGTACATCAAATACGATCTGCTCTACCGTACACGGTACAGTACAGTACTTCAGTGTCTTGTACTGTACACTGTACAGTACAGTACAGTACAGTACTGTAAACTGTAAGATACAGTACATGTACTGTACAGTATACTGTACAGTACACACGACGGTGGGCGTCAAAATACAGTACAGTACAGTACAGAACAGTAAAGTAGACTCAGTACATACTGTACAGTAGTTTACTGTACATACTGTACTGTACTGTACTGTACAGTATGATGGTAACGATGTTAAGGTACTGTACAAACAGTACAGTACAGTACTGTACACTGTACAGTACAGTACATCAAATACGATCTGCTCTACCGTACACTGTACTGTACAGCACAGTACTATAAACTGTAAGATACAGTACATGTACTGTATACACACGACGGTGGGCGTCAAAATACGGTACAAAACAGTACAGTAGACTCAGTACATACAGTAGTGTATGAAGGTAACGATGGTAAGGTACAAACAGTACTGTATACTGTACAGTACAAACGACGGTGGGCATCAAAATACTGTACGGTACAGTTGACTAAGCGCATAGTGTGATATGTACTGTAGACATCAGAAAGGGTAGTTGTACCCGATGTAGCTTCCCATACGTGAGTCCAGTCTCAGTCAAAGCGAGACACGTCTTCCGTCATCATGGCAACCGCCATCCAATCTTTCTGACTACTCGACTTCCACGACTATCGTCGCAAACCAATAGTTGGCTGCAAGCCGTTATTTTCGAAACGAGAAATCAAGGTGGCGAGTAAAGTAGTCGAAGCTTGACCAGTCTCAAAATAATCGTTTCATATTCTTGGTGTACACTTGCACGATCAGTCTACAACTTTCCTCCAGTCTTAGTGCTTAGTTGTTGTTGAATTATTCCCTTATTTGGACGATATTACTATCATCGAATAACAAGCATCATTCAATGTGCAATGGAAGGTAAGTTACATACCTGTCCATGGATTACTGGTATGACTTGAATGAACAAGGGCACCAGTGCCATCCATCAAGAGCTGTATTTTAAACCGATCATATACTTTACTAGACGTAGAATGGTAATCCTTCCCATCGAACACAAGATAGTATGGCTAAAATACAATACATCCCATTCTATCATGACCATGCCTACTAGACAGTACAGTATAGTGTATCCCAAACAGTTTGGAGAGAGACGCATACAGTAGTTTTAAAGTAGGGATAGCTTAGCGTGGTTGTCGGCAATCAATGACAGGCTACGCATTCAAGCTGGAGCAGTAAATCATTTCACTAGCTTTGTCCAAAACGACATGATTGTTCAGGATGACTTTATTCACTTTTGTACAGCAGTAAAATGGACGCTCGAGATGTTATGGACTGTTGACATTAAATTAGATTAGTTAATACAAGTCGTGTTAAGCGCAACTACGAGCATGGACAATTCATTTTATTGGATGCCCTTCGACACTATCTGTTATAGTAATAACCCATTAGCTACCATAGTAAATCATGGTATACTTGCTTTGATTCTGTAAAAATTAGTCTGCCATGAAAGGATTATGGGTTAATAAAAGTAGCCATCATAATACGATCGTACCCTACTTCACGCGATCGGCAGTACCAGCGATATTAGATGCAGTAACACCTTATTTAAAATTCATCATGGTTTGTCGACTTGATCACCCTTCTGCTCTAGTGTGTATTTTAACTGAACGCTAATATGTCAATGAATGAAGATTGTTCCAATGAATACGTCGATGATTGTTGCAACAGCGAGTTATTTAATTAGAGACGAATTATTAGTGTAAAGATAGTAAGTTATGATCGAACATGATCGTCAAGTCAAGTGCTATGACGAAAGTGAAAATACAGCTGATACTATAATTGGAGTACTTGCCTACTACAGGATTGACATTTGTATAAATTGTCGTAGTAAAATGTTCAGATCGAAAGGTCTGTCATTTTCTTTACAATCTTACTTTGATTAAACCAATGATCGTTCATAGGATGTTAATTAATGTTGTTAAGGTTCTAATTATGATGGTCGAGGTCGTGGTAGAGGTAGAGGCAGACGCAAGGGTCGAGGTCTGAATAGAGGTAACGGTAGAACAGCCGCTAACCGTAGTAATGATGGAAGAAATGAGGATACTGACACATCCAGAGGTGAGAATCGTTTTGTCAATAATACAGATAGACCAAGTAGGGGTGCTTCAAGAGGTGGCAGACGTGGAAGAAGAGGTGGACCAGCGGTAAGTAATATATATATATACCTTTCAAGCTAAGCAAGTGTAGCGTAATTGTTAGAATCTAGCTATACACTATGGTCTTATTATCATGTGGATACATTGTAAACAGGCATATCTATAGAACATTGTACAACATGGACAAATTTTCAACTGTGAATGACATCAAAATAATCGCTTTAGTTAACACTTCAACTCCATATCAAATAGATGCACAACAGTGTTTTCAATGAATACTAATTGATATCATTATTTACCACTATGAATACATATTAGTATTACTCACAGCCGCAATACTATGATGATGAATTCCAAGATCAAGTGGAATACGATGACTTTGATGATAGACGATTAAATAACCCCCGCAATAGAAATCGGCAAAATAGAGATGCCCATATAAGCAAGGCAAGACAGGCAAATTTAGCAAAAAAAAGGAATTTTTATAAAGTAAAGTCACTAAAATAGAGAGTATCGCACAAAAGTTGATGAAGAGGCTGTACTTCTCTAAAGAAAATAGTTTCACGTAACTTTCAACCATTGTAGTTACTTCAGGCCCAGTAGCCAGGTAATAACAGTCTTATCTGCTTTTCATTTATCTGTCATTGATGAAATTACAGAATCGAAATGAAGAACGAGAAAGCTCTGGTAATAGGTAAGCCATTAAATTATGTCTTGATAGTATGGCTCAACTTTAGGTAAGTTTTGGTGTATCTATAATTTCGCAGATATAACAACCCTGACGGGCAAATGTTAACTATCACCATTCCAAATCCTGACGCAATCATGAACACCAAATTCAGGTAATTTTATTTAATGAATAAATAAGGTCGACATTATAAAATGATAACAATATGTGTGCAATTCATTGTTTAATCTATATGAAGAACTAGTGGTCGCAGTTCTGAATCAAAATCAAGAAGTAGAACCTTTCCTCCACGTTTTCGGGATAAACAACCTATACAAGACAGTCAACAAGTTATATTCGTTGCTCAAGATAATGCGAGAAGCAGATCACGCGGAAGAAGTCGACGTAAATATCGAGGTAGAGGCCGAGGAAAACCGCAAGAAGAACAGAATTTTCGTTCAGAAGATCAGGTTCGATACACAAGAATTGCGTGAATAAATTCATTACAACCGTAAAAATTTACTCTTATCAGTATTGCTTTTGACTTTCCCTCTCAGTCCTACAACGCAACAGAAAGAGAGGTGGCATTCATCCCTAGCGGCCGATCTGTTAAAATGTATTAGAAATAGCCGAGATTCTTCACGAGGATCATGAATCAGGATAACAAAGTTTATTTCCCAATTTTTTCAGTGTAGATACTTGCTTTAGGCAATTAATATCATATTATATGTAGAGTCTAATTAATTCATTGTTGTAAATGAGCAAAATTTATGATAGATTTAGAAAGTTTAGTAGCTCATCATTTATTCATCTACTCGTATTGGGTGCGTTATTTTATCATGCCTGGCAACTGCCAATCCATTAAGAATCAATGCCATTGAAATTACACCAAAACGGTACTATCAATACGAATATGAACTAAATCAGTTATCCCTTGCTCATATTTTATTGTGTATTCAATGGATGTTCGTAATGGTAGTATCTTATTGCAGTCGCATTGTTAATAACATTATTTTCAGCAGGTTTTTAATTAATAGCAATATAAGACTGCTTTCTTTCAATTGTAGAATATTGTATGAGTTTCAATAGTATATAAAAATAATCATCACCTGTAAAAGTTTAAAATTAATGTATATTATTTTTAATATTATCATCATTTTCATTATCATTCAATGATTTTATGAATTTTGATGTTCAAGCTGCGGGTTGATTAACTTCGGCTGCAATTACGAAGCGTCGAATAAAATTGTGTATCAGACATGAAAATCAAACTTGTGTCTTATTATAAAAGTGAGAGAATAAATGGCATACGATAATTATATTCTCAACTGGTAGGACAGTTACAAATTCTGATTGCTGACTGATGTGGGAATTTTTTGCACCATCAATCAAACCTAATGTTCACGAGGTGTTAAGAAGCCTATCCGAAATAAGACCCCATGGCGTTGCTTTATTTCGTTCACGTTCTATCTTCGTGATACGGCATATTAATTTCATTTTTATATCTTACGTGGCCATATTCTCACGCCTTCTCTCCAATTTAATTATCCCTAAATTAGCAAATAGCAATTTAACATAAAATAATTTATTTAGGTATTTACTCAGTACCGATAAAACCGAGTCTGTTTTCCAAACGCAGTTTATTAATCAAAATGTTATAATTAAAATTATTCATGGCATAATATTTTAAAGTCAGAGTAATCAATTTATTCACAAACTACAGCTACTTACAGGTTAAAATCATGCCTAAAGCCAATAAACCAATTAAGACACAATTTGCGATTAAAGTATGGGATGGACGATTAAGAATTCTGTCCATGATACTTATTAATGATATTCCAAAGATCTGATAAAACAAAAATTATACTCTGAGGTAACAAGTTTATCTACCGTTTGCAACGAAGGAATCAACGATGAGCTAATCATCAGGATTGCCCTCCTTATTGCAAGCGCCAAACATTAAATGAAAACTCAGTATTGTAACTATCTCGTAGACACAGCAGTAGTCTAACCTCTTTTCAAAGTATTACTTAAGAACTATTGCATTAAAAACCGTCAGGCGTAACAGTAATGCAATGAATAGAGTTTTAGTCTCTAAGATTCGAAATCCACTCAGTCAAAATTTGAAAACGACTCTACTGTGATTTTATGTTAAACTAGCAATAAATCATAAATCTATTTATGTCTAGTAAATCTAACCTGAGCAGAACAATTTAACAAACCAGATGATAGCCCTTCAGAAATAGGATACGTCATTTCAGCCGCAAACTCAAATCCAACGGGCAATATGGCCGTAGCAAAGAATCTATTCGAAAAAAAGTGAAGATTGCTTACGCACAAAGAATTCTTCGCTATGTCCAGCAATGAACTACTGTATAAATTATTCAAAATGAAGAATTACCCAAAAGCACCACAAATAAAATAAAGTACTTCAAGTTGTTTAAAATAAACTCCTAGGGTGAACGCTACAGCGGCGATGACGGAGAAAATGTAGAACGTGACCGTAGTCCCTCTATAGAGAATCATTAAGGTAGAAAACTGCAGTTCCAAGGACATACCATCATTTGAACTCAATTATAGGCGTATATGGTAACGAATCAAGAAGTGTAAATACTAACTTGAATCGCCTAGTCCAATCAAGCCAAAATCCAACCAGAAAGGCTCCAACTAGACCACTAATAATAAGAATAAAGCCCATAATACCCACAGCCACTTCTTGATTCTATTTCAGTCAGTGAAATTTATCAAAACGTCTAGTTTGGCGTATACCTAAGCCTAATCTCCTGCCAAGATTATATTTTTATTCATTAAATACAAGAGCATGCAATTACCGGTATTTCCGGTAAGATAATTTCGCCTAGAAGTGTCGAAATTGCGTAGTAGCTTCCAGTAATTATTCCTAAATATTTGCAAAATAGATTCGTAAATACTGTAGGCTCAATTTTATTGAATAGATTTACTTTTCATGATCCTGTACCATACTATCCGTTACGATATGATTATTACAAATGTAATCTAGAGAGGACAATCAACTTGCTGGCAACGTATTCTTCGAATAAAATGGATCACATACCATAAGATATTAACAGAAGCATAAAATTTCGATTCATTATTAGCATTTTTATGTCTCTCGTAAAGGGATGTCTAGGTGTAACGATGATGTGATTTTGATTCCCTGATATACTCTCTTGATCATCATCACGCGCTAACTGTAAGTCTAAGAAATAAAACGAAATTTAAATAAGTTACATATTAAATGCCTGATAGCAATCGCAAATAGTACTCTATTCAAAATGTGAAAAGATTACTAGCCTTTATGGCTATTAATACAGTCAAGAATGCAGAATCAAACAAATCATGACTACTTAAAATAAAGCAAACTACCCCCTGCGTTACCTAATACTGACGGAATGTTCTCGTTATCATTATATTGCGCAGTTCCTGTTAATGAAAAGTATAATTTCGTGGAATTAATACAGTTATAACCAGTGGATATTAAAGTGAGTTCAAGATCGTCTCTTAGAAACGGTATTATTAATCAACTATTAATGACAAATTTGGGTTCACCATAACGGACGTTAAGGTCCTTGCTGATATTATTATTCAATTTTTCCGTTCGTGGCTCTTGAGGAAATACTATATATTCATGATAAGATCATTAAACAGTTCAAGCAATTTAAATTTCAATAAAAAAAATCATATAAAGTGCGTGGTGGCACCAAAATACCTATGAAAATTAAAATGATGATGATCATGCATGAGCATGCTTGAGCTAATAGTAAATTCGATAAGTTATGGCTGAACACAGCTTGATTAATAACCACTGGGACCGATATAGGAGAAAGAATAAAGCCGATAGCAGATCCGACCTGTGGAATAATTCTGTTTAGTAAACGTATTAACGCACTAATTGAAATAGTTTGAGTTTTCGACAGATAACAATAATTTTTACTTAAAGCTCACCTGATTAGCAAACACAGCTATTGCTGTTGCTGCTGATCGCTGATTCATAGGAAACCAAATAGCTGCCAACCTAAGAATATTATAATAAATGTAAAAATTGATCCTCTATTATGAATAGTCTAGCCGAAGAAAAATGATATTCATACGTAAATACCAAGCTTTTTAACCTCCTATACTAAAATGACATCTGAAAAAAATTCTATCATTTTTATGCCAGAAATCAAATATTAAATTTTCTCACGACCAGCTAGGAACATGTCAGAAATAGAAAGCCTACTTTGCTGGAATTCCTAATGTGAAGGATTGAGCCAATGAAGAAACTATCTGGCCTACCATCAGCAACCAAAACGTATCAGGATGACTTCCTGAGTATCGTAACCATGCACCAATAGCATTTAGGAGTCCTCCATATGTAACAGCCGCTTTTAAACCATCCGTTTCCAGCAACCAGGTGGAAGGTAAAATAAATAGAATGTAAGTAGCCATGTATATTTGAGATAACCAGTTAATCGCCGTGGAAGTAACATTATAATAGCCTATCAAAGGCATCAATGAGTCAATCTGACCAATAACGCAATTGAGTGAGATCATATTGTGAATACACAGATCAATTTTAGAAATATGTGAATGAGGTATGGGTTCAGTTTTTATTAAAGAGAGACTAGTGGTGGTGGCTATTCCTCCTAGCAATGGAAAGCTCGTCAGTGTTGTAGTCATATACAGTAGTCTATAGGTGGGTGTCGGAAAGAATAAAGCTACCAGCAAGCTGACAGTAAATAACTTTCTAGCTGTAGTTTTAATTTCCTAGTTACAAATTTCATAGTAAAGTATTAAAGCCTATTCTATCGACAAATATCGTTGCAGGCAGTAGTTTGAATTTCTTAACCAAGTACTAACGCCTATTCTATGAGCAGATACAGTATACTTGCAACAACATAGCAATGTAGCAATGGCTTTAATCCCCTTGTTCTAAATTTCCCAACTGACTACTAAAAAGCCTACTGTATGAATATTACGCGTATGAGCAGATATCCTAGCGATAATCAAGCAATCTAGTAATTTTAATTTTCGTTATTTTGAAGGAGTTTCCTAACAGTACTAAAGCTTATCCTATGGACAGATACCTTTGCGACAATCAAAACAATTTAGCTGTAATGTTTAATTTCCTAACAAAGTTCTAAAGCCTATTCTATGGACAGATATCCAGCAATCACTGTACAGTATGCTCTATACTGTAGACTAGAAGGTGGAAAAAAATGCTGAGATTTCCTTACTTAGTATTTAGGTTAATGACTTCGGGGACAGTGAATTAGCATTGCTAAGCTGTTGTACCTTACTCGCTAAATTTTGCCAATTGAACTGCAGTTCTGTCATTGTGTGTTCAAACATGGCAATAATAAAATATAATGCAATAAATAGCAAAACGATGATGTAATGCAAACCTTCCAATTGCACAGCGATTGGCGCAAACGTTATCCATTGCATTCCATTGCTACCAGTTAATAACGAAAAAGCAAAGAGAGCCATAAAACGCTTACGTCGATTATCTTTACTAGTAAGAGAGTCATTTGTAGATTGGCACTCTTGTTTGCTATTGCTAGCGATGATTATGGGAACTGTGTCGGCGTTTTCATCGCTTTCATGAGTTACAACATGTTGTCGATTTTCCATAGGGATCATTAATTAGTTATGGATAGCACTATAGGTATACAATCTGTTTAGAGACTAGATTAGCCAAGTTGTCCTTGCTCTTGAAACCAAAAGATAGTCAGGGTATAACAACGTAAAACATGTACAGGATATGTATTAATTTCCACCAACCTTCGCGTACATAAAAAATGATTCTGTTCACCAATGTCGATGAATTGTTATACTTCCTCACACTGTTCTTGCAGTAGAATTATGCCAAACTATGTCTAATACCGTAATATCTTGACCCTGACGAATAAAAATGGAGACTTTGACAGGAGCTATTTGGTTGCAGCGAGTACAATCATCAACATATAATTTATCAACCACTTGCAATGGATGAAATTTGGGTTAATTTTTTCAATTTTGACCTAGTAAAATGATTCTTCTACTATAAAACTGTAACAAGCTGCAGTGAATGATATTTATATGCGAATGTAGCATGTTGATTTATTCGATATAGTTATATATCAATGTCCATCCAGCAAATGGGCAAGACAGCAATAAGCTTACGTTAATAAAATATTTCTTTCCACAATGAGTAATAGTGCCAGGATTGATAGACTACTGCCGCGATTGAAGGCCTAGTCTAACTTTGTAACTCGCTTTTCCAATTGGTTATAACGTTGATGTAATAATCAAGCGAACAAATTATTCCATACTGTCATTGGGCTTCACCAAGAAAGAATAACAAAGTACAGCGGTGGTGCTTTGCTTCCTTTTAGCTAATGTACTAGTGTACAAGTTCATTGCTCGTAAGTAAGTAACATGTCAGTATGAGGTAGAGTACAGTTTAATAACATGGACTGAATATTAATCGGTAGTGGCCATGACAGTGGACAGACATGACTAGACGACAGACATACGGTAAACGAAAGAGACGAGAAGTCAGTCAAGGTCTCATGGACTACTAAAAGAGCGAAATCCTCCTCTAAGTTTTGTCTCTTTTACTAAACCCATCCGTTTAATGATGATAGTAATAAAGGCAGAAGTAAGAGAAAAGATTTTTGCCTCTATGCTAAACAGTATACGGTACAGTAGTTGCAAAAAACGTTCACAGACCGTTTCAAAGTCTCCATAACCCAGACCGTATTTTAGCACCATTGCTTTGCCTCTAAAATGTCAAAAATAATGGATGCTCATTTTTGTATCATGCAAATCAACTATGGAGAACAGATTGTAATAATGCTTTTCTACTTCATGCCAATGAATACAAATACAATCATGATGCAAAATCGACGCAATTGAGTCATAATCAATTTTGTTACTTACTGTAGTTAACGTCAGAATTCTTACTACAATTTATCAAATACGACGCCAGACTACGAGCACTCTTTGGTTGAAATGGCTTATTGCATATGTGATCAATAGGATATAATTAATTAGTTAACTTCATCACCGACAACATACAGTACTTGCGATCGAACCTTGAACTAGAGTAACGAGAAACCATACTCCAAAAAAAAAAAATGAGGGACGAAAAGTGGCATTCAGTGCAAAAAATAAGAGGGAGGCACATCATTTTTCCGGCCATTTCACTTTAATAGGTTACCATGAAACCATTTATCATACTGCACAAAATCAATCTAGCTGCTAATTAATATATAATCAATTCGAATGTCATCTGCAAGCAGCCATCGACTGGTCTGCAATAGAAAGTGATGATTTTTGGTCTTTGAAGGGGAAGTAAGAAATTGGTATTTCTCACAATTTTAGCAAATATTTGAACCATAGGTGTGCCATTTCAACTGTACCGTATTGCGATGGACAAATAACGCTACAGTCAAAAATCAAAATAGGTTTCACAATAGTGATCTCTCTAAGTAGCATTATTGATTCGATTTTAGACCAGTACAGTACTTTCCAGTGACATTCTACTAATGGACTGTTTTCCATAATTTGTGGCTGTGATATTCAGTAGAAAGATGTTCTCGTGTTAGAGGTAAGCGTAAACATTTGACATAATAAAATGCCGATGAATGAGTTCATAACTAAATAACTACCGCTTGCTTCGCTGGGCATATAGAATTAATTGTTTAAAATGATTAATGCTGTTAATTTCAAAACTGGTATGATTAATTATTTAAATCCAATTTTATGGTGTTGCGCATTCTCTGGTAAATCTTCTCTACACTTTTATCAAATGCAATAGGGGGTAAGTTGGTTGTAAAATTATAATAGTAATGTTAAGATCTATGATATGAATTCAAAAAAAATTTCTTACGAAAGAATCACATATTTTTCATATAGTGCTAATATTACAGTTTACGTATTTATGCCTTGGGTCTATAAGTCAAAAACATATTTTGATATTTAAGCATTATATTTGGAGAGTTGTAACTTGTCATATTACAATGAATAGATCAAATCAAGATGGATGTTTCTATATTATAAATTTTACTTTTCAATATTTATTGAATCGACAATTCCAATGTATTTACAAGTGTTCATTATAATTTTAAATCATTTGTTATATGTGGCCATTCCAATCTATATATCCACCAAATTTACTGGAACGAACAGGGCGTAAGTTGATACTTAATAACAATAACTTATGATGATACGTATGTGTGCTACAGTATAAATTGAGCTAATTTATCTATTAAAGTAGGTAAATTTAATATAGAATGATGATACTGGGTCAGTTTTATATTGTATCAAACATCATACTGAGATAGTTATGTACTAAAAAAGTCTTATATTCGTAAAATATGGCAGCAGAAATCAGATAGCTGGTAAGATGCAGCTAATATTATAACAATAATAATAATCTAGACTGCCTTTATAATGAGAATATATTTGTTTATTTTGTTCTTACATAATTGAAGCAATAGCAGAATTATAAATATTAACGTTAAAGACTATTAGCACATAAAATTTGCTATTTTAGATCAATTTTCAACTATTAATTATTTTCTTATTAAGCCTAAAAATGACGAAAATTAACATTCCTAATAATGTAGTAGAGCATTAGTATTCAATATTCTTCATTCCACCATCAAAGTGAATTATTCTAAATTTTGTCTTGGCACGGCGACTACAATAACTCATTTTGATATGATTTGAAAAAAGTATTGAAATATCGTTAGGTTTTTAATATTTAATGCCTTTAATTATAAATCTAATCCTATTTTCATTTTATCTTTTTCATTATGCTTCATATTTAAAACAATTCATACCTTGGGTATTTGAAATTATATAGAAGAAATCATTTCGTCCAAAATCGGTATGTCCTCAATATAGCTATTAGAATTAGTATAAAAATGGAAGACTGCGCACCTGAAACCTATTTTTATAATGATTGTATCTAATATATTCTTAATAAATTTCTTAAAAATAAAACAGTAACTTGATAGCTTTCAGTTGAATAACAAAACTAGCATTAATCGTAAAGAAGAAATTGATCGACGGATGGAAGTACCGGTATCAACAACTGCCAACAAATTCCGTTCGCCTCAATTAATGTTAGCCTTGTAGTGATTAAATGTAAAACTGGAACGACTTTTATGACCATAATCTAGACTGAAAGCCAGTAATATGTTACCATGTTGACATTATCATTGTATCTTGTTCCGTTGAAACTAGTAACTTAGATAGTTTGTGCGTAGATCGATTAGTTGTACGAATTTTTGAAGTCTACTTCAGCATTTACTGTTAAAAATAATGGTCAGCTTTACTTTTAAAGCATACAGTATTGTTGTGCGTGGTGAATATAGACTTTAATGGATTAATAAAATCGATCAAAAAAGTACTACTATTGCAAGAAATAAACTGATTGCGTTATATTACTCAGTACTATCAGTTGGCTGAATACTACTTGAAAAGCTTTATATATTTCACATTCCATACGAAATATTAGTAGCGCTAAATAATAAGCTGCCTTATTCATTTTAGTGCTAAACCTTGGATTAAGACCAAAATCTTCTTTGCGTAATTTTGCATATTTTAAGGTTTTGATTAATATTAATAGAACAACCGCAGTCGTATAATAATATTTCCTGTAAAATCTATACGATCATTCTCTTTGCATTTGCTATTTATCGATGAATTTCATTAAAAAGTATTCAAAATTCTATCATTCCACACTGAATTTTTAAGCACACATTTATCGTAACTCCCCTAGCTGTTACGATAGCAAGCTTACTAACAGCTGATAGCAAGTTATAAACCTCGGACCTGACTGTGTCATATATGTAAATTATATAATCATTGCATCGCCGGTGTGTAGCTTTGCCTAGTTATGATATCAAATATAAACTATTGCGAGATAATATACTGCAGATTGAAAAGCATGCTAAGCTTGAACATTTAAACTATATATGGTCGTAGTATGAGCGTTTCAAAAGTACCCATTGCGATGGACTACTTTAAGCAGGTCTTCTTTTGGTTTTCCATGATACCTGTATACTATATGGTATACAGCAGAAGCAGGCTGTGACTAGTCACTCTTTTTGACAGACAGACAATTAGGCTCTAACTTTATCTCGTATACATATTTTGCCAAACCCTTCATAATGACAGTACTTCAGTATGGATAGTCGATTCTGAATCGAGCGATTTTTCTACATTAACAGTTGGTAATGTTACGTTAAATCTTATTATCTGTTACCAAGTTTAGCTTGATTACAGCTATATAAAATGTATTTGAATTAGCACGAGTGATTTAGAAAACAAATATGGAAGAAGATCTGTACTATGTTCCGTAACTATTTTCGACTTTTACGGTCTTATCTGGTTAGCAAAGTCCGTTAATCGATAATACTGTATAGCTCAGCAGGATTTACCGTTAATCGCATTAAACTAAATTATACATAATTGTCGATTAAAGCAGTTCCCGAATAATTATAAATGATATAGTCATGTTTTTATTTCATTTTGAGCCGTTTCAGCGGCATCTTTGGATATATCGTAGAAAAATTATTGGGTCTAGTGTATAATTTAGCGAAGTAAAAAACGACTTCACATAGGAGAAATCATGTTGCTTTATTAATTATTAAATTATACAGGATTACCGATTAATTCAACTACTTTAAATTCGTATAAATGTCAATCAGTGTTTTCTTTTACATATCGAATAGACAGCCGCGACATGCCGATTATGAACTCTATCTGAGTGTTCAAATTATTAGACAATGCTGTCAATTAATATGCCTAAAATGGAGCGTTTGGTATACATCAATTCTAAGGAGGTTCTTTTCAAAATTGCGAGGCCTTCCACGGCTCTTGGTGTGGAGCTAGTCAGCTGACCTTGTTTACTGGATTGCATAAGAATGTACTGCACATGCTCGGTAACAGGCCAACTGGATTGCTTGGAAACGTGAGAGAAACCAACCTGAACTCGTAGTCAAATTGGAGAACTTGGATATCATGGCCAATGTAACAACCGCAAATCGGAAGCCTCTTATGGATAAAACAGGACAAGCTCCTGCTCCAAGTAAAGATTATCATCAGTTATTGGTCACACATGAAGAAATTATCTGGCGATGGTGGAAAATTTCTATGCGAAATAATGCCATTGTTTTTCCAGGGGAAACTAAGATTCCATCGGAAGATTTCGATTACGATGATCGATTGCAGACTGAAATTTTGCGTATTTTTGGTAAGGAAACATTGGAAGAAGTAAGACGATTATCCATGTGTAAAGGCGATTGCTTAGCTAGTCTACCACTTACAGTATTGATGCAAATTATTGCTAGCTTGCCGCTGGAAGATATACTGATGTTATCCCAAGTCAATCATTACTTACGATATGTTACTTCGCTGGACTCGCTGTGGAAGGAAGTCTACATTAATTTATGTGGTGCACCAAATGAAGAAATACGCTCCTATGCTAATGAAAATGGCTGGAAGAAGACCCTATTTACAGATAAATTGAAATTAAGAGTTCAATTAGCACGAAGGAGGAAAGACATGGAATCACCCAAAGCGAATACGTTCATAACGTCTTCTGATTATATAAAGTAGTAAACTGTCAAACAACGTCATTAGCACGATTAGATACGATACCACCAGTGCGAATGCAATTTAATCCTTGTACTTAAAGTATCTTACAGCGATAGCTTGAATTGTGAGTATGACATAATTCAATAACTAAAACATCAAAAATAATCAGATACTCCGTTATCGCTAATTTACTTTGCCAAAAAATTATGAAAGTCAAACCGAAAAAAATTTGAACTGCCAATTTGTTAATGCTTAACGCCAACGATAGTCAGTAAATTGGTACCATTACTATATGACTAGTAGTTAAAGGAATTGTACTTAATTTACATTCTTGTAGATATTGACTAATATATTCTGCGGCTAAAGCAACTGTTAACCTGTTAGCGGATAGCTTAGATCATTATTTCTGTATCGCACTGTTCATAATACTTTATATCTTCATAACTATATTTAAGCATTGTAGTTAATTATTTTTAATTGAAAATGAAGACCAAATAACAAATATTATTCTTAAATGATATGAATATACAATTAATTCACGATGCATAATTTTATAATGATTTCGAATGCCTATTTATTACAGTGGATATTTTAACCTATAAAATTTTCATTTGTTGCGTATTAAATATGATGGAATAAACGTTCAGCTTTATAATGCATTGGTGTAGTAATTCCCTTCCATCTTTTGGTTTACCAAACTTGAACTGTACGCTACGATATACGCTTAAGACTTCTAAACGGTACTGAAATTTACGAACTCAGTATAGAGCTCGCTTTTTTAGGCAAGCCCGGTTTCTAGATACCTTACCCGACAGTTAGATTTCTAAACGTCAATGGGATTACCATTAATTTATTGGCTAAATCTTTGCATTAGGTCATTATAGTCATTATATAGCTTCTCACTAAATGTACCACGAATGATAGATTGGAAGTAAAATTTACGTCCATATGGTCCTATATGGATAATTCACCATGTTTAAATGCAGTATTGTATAGCTTTTACTGTCCTCTTAAGATTTTTACTATAACAAGTGTTTTAAAATAAAGTAGCGTCTCAAATTTATCCTATTAATATACAGTAGAGTAGTATCATCAATCTAATAATAATATTGGTCTTCACTCATTGCAGTATTATGCTGTTGTAGCTATACCGTACTTAAGCATTGAGTACAAGAATTTGTCTCTTCATCATTTTCATTTATTACTAATTATATTTATTATATATTAGAGCCTCTAAATGAAAGACAAATCCAGTGTTGTCAACAAGATTATGATGTACATATTCTATTATTCGGTGAATGGTAAAATTTGTAAGATGATTAAATCTTGTAATTTACTATTGCTTTTTAATATAGTAATAATTAACTCATGTTAATTATCTTGCAATATGATCTACACGAGACACATACATCATAATATGAACAATCTAGGCCTTTTAATCCGTAATAACGTATTATATTGTTGGAATAAAATGCCTTCAAAATATTAAAGAACCAATATTTCTTGTGAAATTGAAATATATAACACATAGTCCGGTTTATCCAACAACACTAAGAAGTATCATCCTTTAGTCATCTATCCACAATATATATACACGTACATTACACCAAGATACATTCAACTTCAAATTTTCTTTGTAAAGTCTGACTATGTTTCGTCTTAAAGTAATTTTGGGATTTGATATTTTGCGAAGTAACTTTACAAAAGTGCTTCATCAATTTTATTCACAGTCAAAATCAAGGTAATAAATTATTCGAGCATTGAAGCTATTTATTTATGATTTAAATCCGGTAAAGTTGAGACACTAGTAAACCTTTATTCACAATTTAAATGAGAAATTCTAGTAAAGTTTTTATATCTAATTGTGGTAATGAAGATATTAAAATTATTCTTTAATGTTTGTTTTTACAGGTTCTGTTAACATGGCAACTATTTTCATATTTCAAGTTGGCCTTAAAACATTTGCAGTGTTTACCTGTGCAAGATGTAAAGCAACAGCAATGGCGAAATCCTTGTTTACTTACAAGTGGTTGTAATCTAGCAGCCTTTCGAAGACTGATTGTAACATTATCGTAAACTTCAAATAAATTAAACCAGTGGAAACTTCTTTTCATCTTTAAGGTATTATCTAAGTATTTAGATGAATAAATATAAGCTACTATGGCACTGTACGAGGGTTCTTAAAAATTCTTTAAATTTTTAACCACATCTAATTTATTAGTTGCATTAAATTTTTTCTTGAATTTTTTAGTCTAAATGGTTTTGGTTGAAAATTTTAATAAAGAGGAACACACTATTTTAAAATTTTATTTAGTAGCAAGTTACGTTATGATTATTCATTTCTTTAATTCCTTAACTGAATCAAGCTTTACTTGAATGAAAGTAAAATAGCTAATTGCTATTTAGATCTATGTCAAGTATAATTTACAAGAGAACAAAGGTAACAGATTGCTTTTTATAAATAGTAACCTAAATTGAGCGCTCTAAAAACGTAGAGAATTTTTATAAATGATGCCAATATTTCATTTCGTATATCCAATTGAATGGGAAGTTCCGAATTTTGTATCAGTACTAGTTTAATAGAGCTTACCAACACCCTCAGAAATCAATCCCACCTAGTGCTAGTATTAAGGTGATAATTATATCGATATACGAGAAAGCAAACTGGGCAGTCCATTGATGTTTTGATCAAGTTTTAATCATTTACTTGTGATAATTTTATCCCGATATGTAACATTTGAATATGTTCTAATATTATATTTTATATGCACGAAATATAGAAATCGCCGTAAGCTAATTGATAAAATTCGCTTTGTAACATCTTTGCATCAATATAGATCATACTGTAGTTAAAGCCATTGCAGGTTCTTTATTTGGAGGATAAGATTGTAATGGCGATAAAAGTGGATATAGTCTATCTTCTAAACCAGCCTTTGGAGTCAATTTATTATCTTGATTTTTAGCAACTAATTGCTGGCCATTACCATTGCTACTAGTACGCGGACCACCGTTGCTACGTTTTGAATATCTAGATGCCCTCGATGTCTTAGTATAAGTTGCTTGCAAACTTAAACGCAACGATGCACGACGCCGTCTCCTACTAATTCCTAGTAAATTCCATAAACCTCGCCTCATTTCGGAGTTCATAAAATTATAAGCGATCGGATTAATAGCGCAATGAGTGAAACTAATTAGAATAGCTATGGAACTAAAAAATCTGAAACCTTCCCTACTAGGATGGTAGGGATCGTCATCAAAATAGTTTATAATGAGGACAACGAAAAATGGAGTCCAAGTAAGATAAAATGTACCAATAATGAATACGAAAATAAGAAGTAATTTAAAATCTTTTGATGTAATCGGTCTTTTAATATCAGCAGCTCGACTTAATTGACGGTGAAGGCTATTTTGTTGTTTAATTTTTTGTATATGGCCACAAGCCGTTTTAAATACTATAGAATAAAGAACTGATAGCAGCAATGCTGGTAGAAAGATATTGGCAATAACTAAGATCAGAAAATAGATTTTCTCTCGTGTATGGGTAATAACATGACCGCACACATTGATATCCACTTGAGTATAATCATGCCATATTACCATAGGTAATAGTGATAGGATAATCGGTTGCATCCAGATATAAGCACTGGCAAGTATAAATAATAAAGTAAAGTTAAGCCTGTGCTGAAGAAATGGATAACAAATTGCAATATAGCGATCAATACTAATTGCACAGAAGTTTAAAATGGAAACCATGACTAAACCAATACCACATGCATTATAAATGGCGCACCAAAATGGCGCAAATGGCCAATAGCCAAGCAATGCTTGTATCACCATGCCTAAAATCACTATTAAGGCAAACAAAAGATCGGCAATACTTTGACTGATCATGAAATAATTGGTTGTTGTGCGTAAAAAACGGTTACATAATATAGTAGCAATCACTATTACATTGCAAACCACGCTGATAATTACTACAGCTAAGCTGAATCCAATAACTATCCATTCACTTGGATTTAAAGGTAGAGCTTCATCAGTGTCGTTAGGCTTGGCTGTATAACCATCATGTCCCGATGATGTTACATTTTTTATTTGATAAGTCAAATTCCATAAGCTAAATGAAATAGATTAGAAAAAGAATCTGTTAGTTTTCCCTTATTAATACGAATTAGTCAATGAAATTTTCTTTTATTTTTGATGTGATTTGCATATTTTTTAACGATCTTAACTAAGCAACAATTTATGTAAAAGTATAATGATACTAAAGTTATTACACGAGTAAATTACGATCTATTAATTTAGATATCTTTTAATCAAAATTTATTAGGGGAAGGATAGAGCCTACACTTTAATGGCGATATGCATTTTAGTAAAGTAATTACCCTCTATGAGACATTACATTAAAGTTAAGATTTCTAGAAATAAGTATTTGACGTTGAAAGACATCAAATTCTATTAGTTTAATATTATCAAATTTAAACAAAATTTTTAAAGAAATTTTGGTAATAATTGCCATAGCAGTTACATATGAAACTTAAAGCCTGATAAATTAAAATTTAATTCCTTCTGTCTACTTTTAGCAATATTCTGTATAATTAAGCACATCTACACTACATAGCTTGAGCAAACATAAACATACGTTAATCGATATTTTGGTAATAAAATCAACTAGCTTAATTTTGAGTTAGAATTGTTGATTTAGGTCGATTACATCGCTACAGTTACCGATATTTTTAAATTGGTACCTTTGTTTGCGATTTCAGTGAATAGGAAAACCTTATACCTACTATTAACTTTAGATTTTATAAATCAAATTACTAGTTTTGATGAAAAACAGAAACAATTGTAGTCATAAGGTTTCTGTGTCAGGTTAAATGGATTAGTTTGGTGCTTCATAAGGGTGTACTGTAACGTTTGGGATAGTAAACACTAGTTAAGCATCATTAAAGATTTGAATAAAGTCTTGGAACAAAAGCTATATAATAGATAGTGCAGTAAATATATTACCTCAGAACATTCAAATGCATATTTCTTTTCTAAAATGCTAACTAAAACAACTTATAGCAGATATATACAAGGTATAAATATAGAAAAAAACTATAACGTTCAAAATGTAATAATTTTAAGATAAATCAAACTTTTTCGAACTATCAATATAAAATATTTAGATTAGACTAAAAAAAGAGGCAATTTTAATTTTAAAAGTGATCATATTTACGTCTAATCATAAGTATATGATAAGACTTCAACTTGTAAGCAACATAAAATTACAGCTGATTTTAATTTTGTAAGTGATCATATTTATATCTAAATATAAGTAGATGATGGGAGTTCAACTTATAAGCAACATAAAAAAATAGCTACCCTGATGATAATGAATTATTGGGATTTTTCTACTCGTAGCAACCGATACTAACAATAAAAACGTTGATATTAGTGGAATCTAAACTTACTGTCTATTTTCAATCTATGGTTAATCTAATGTAATTGATACTAATAAAATGGAATGAAGCATAATATTTTTCCTAAAGCTGTCATCGGATTTCCTATACGTAATTTCAAGCTATCGAAGTATCTCCCTGTAATTGATAATTTTAAAACTACTATTTATCGGCAGAATTACACATAACACATATATGAATATGTAATAATCAACTAGAATAATAGCAATGAAACTAACTGGCATTCGATTGGTTTACTTTTCTGATATCATATTTATTATAGATGCATTACTGTAATATCTTTAGCTAATTACGGTAGTTTTACTTTTCAAACGTATATTAGGTATGTAAAGTAGTTCATTATGCAAATAAGAACAGTCGGCCAGCTGTATTTCGTGCCAATTTTAATGCTTAAATGATCTTCAGTAAATTTTTCATTTTCATGTTACTATTCAGTGGTATATCGATGAAATATAATGATCGTTAGATTGAAAGTCATATTATACAACTAATTTTAGTGGCAATGTTTAGGAATAATTCAAATGCAAATTATCAAGATGACGATTGCCCTATACATTCAACAATGATGTAAAGAAAGAAACCGTCATTAAAGTAGACTATTTAAGTTTATCTCTATGAATAAACTAGGTAAGATCTAAATAGAATGAGTAGGATTAAGTTAATTTTATACCATTTCGTGATATGAAAGCATCATATAAAGCTATCAAAATCTCTTTGGTTATAGTAAATTTTATCCATACTATATACAGGTTCGACCGAATGATACCAAATAAATCACAATTCAAATATCTTGAGGCTGCCCATTAACTAAAACATTGTCATTTAATAAATACTTGAGAAAATACATTGTTGTTTTCTATGATAATTAAAAGCAAGTCATATCATTTATGGAAGTATATTATCAAATTGTTCATCACTTTTCAAAGTAATGTTTCATTTTTCATGACATTATCGTTGTATGAAATTTAGACAATTAAATACTGCAGATACACTTCAAAGTACCTCTAAAGTCATGAGTTATCAAACAGAAAATAGCTAATTTAAAGTTATTAACCGGACAGATTCGTTTTAAAATAATATTGTAATGGTGGTTTAATTCCTTTAAAAAGCAATAAGATTGACGAAAGTAAGGTGAAAGTAAGATCCCTTCAATCATAACGATGCTAACACTTATAGAGATAGATCTTATTTTAAATTGTAAATGCAATTTGCCTGTTTTCATTTTAAATGGAAATCGACAGAAATAACAAATTTAGCAATATTTATCTAAAATTTCAGATCCAAGAAGCAGTTGAAGCTGAACATAACGAAATTAAATCTTGCCAATAACAATTGTCCAACAAAAGGCTCAAAAATATTAAAAATTAGCAATTCTGATAGCAATACGAGTATAACCAAGAACAGCCATCACTACTTTAACATTTTATATGTACTTCGGTCGAATTATATGATATTCCAGAATAGTAACGCCGTAAACTTATCTGACTATAGCGAGTCAGTATTAAATTTGGTAGTGCGGTTACCTTATGGAAGAATAAAATAATGTAAGTGCTTTAATAGAACCTGTGAGAAATGCGATAAACTCTTTGGTTAAATTTAAAGACTTTATATTGAATGAAGTTGTGAACACGCTAATACTTTACTTTTCTTTTATCAAAATTGACAGACTAAAAATTAGTAAATTTGAGTTAGAAATGGCTATGAATATATCATATTTTAGTAGCTGCAAGGGGCAGCGGTAGTACTACGAAAAGTTATCTTGTTCTTGAATGACTAGACCAAATGCACAACCATGCAGATTTAACGTGCTATGTGTTTTGATTTCAACTATTTTATAAGATATACTTTAATAGCTCATAAATCTAGTCCTTTTATAGCTAATGTTGTCAAAAGATGAAATAGCAATGGTATACCCAAATATCAAGCAAATCTACCATTTTGATTAATAAAGTTGAATACATAGATATATGCCTTGTAAGTCTTCAGATTATTATTAAAATAAAAACAAATATTTGAGATGCAACTTACTCCATCTTAAGCATTGGAATACCACTAGGGTGGATTAGGATTTTGTTGAAGCTGAAGATCAGCTAAATTATGGCGTTATAGAAGAATTGCAATGGAATAGAATATAAAGTACAATCCAGTCAATACTATTCTTGCAATTGGTTCAGCTCTTCTGTAGCCGTTACCAGAAATGGATTTATTTTTCAAGTTTCAATGTGTATTCTACTATTTGAATGTCAGCAACATTTAGTAATATCGAAACAATTAGCCCTCGTATATAATTAAGAATTTACAAATATGGTTAGTATTTATTTTTCGTGTCACTTTTAGCGTCTAATAAGCTGGGAAAATAGAAGATAATAGCCTATTTAATATGGTTGCAGACTGAGTATACAAATAATATATTCAGTTCTTTCATATTCTCTACGTTGACCCAAGTTTAGATTCGGCCCAATTAGCAAGGGGGAATTTCTTATTGTTATTACTATCAAGCAATTTTGAACTTTATATCAATCTTGTTATTATTCGTTGCCTAGAGGAATAAGAAGATCTCTCTTGAAGCCATGGAGAGTTCGATTTATGGTTCTAACAATAGCTAGAGACAATAACTTAGCTATGCAATTTATTATTTCCTAAGGAAATTCCGTGCGTGATCAGTTTTATCATGTTTACAACGGAAAGAATGAACGATTGGACAAGTAAACTCAGAGTTAATAATAATTATAATACATTTTTTAAATGATAGTATCATTTAGAAAACAGTCTTAATTGATGAACCTTAACCATAGTTAATAGTCAATTTATTAAATGGAATAGGCAATTAAAATTATATACAAAATTACGTTAAAAAGTAAAATATTCGTTCTATTTGATATCTTTTTATTTACTTACTACACGAATTAAAACCGATATTTAGCATCGAAACAAATTCTGAATCAATTTATCTGTCGAATCAAGTGCTAATTTTTGGCATGTATCGACTTTTGATGCATTTTATCGCCATATTACCTATCGAACCAATCTGATAGAGTTCTTTTCAAGTAAAATCGGATCAATCATAACCTTAATGAATAGAAAATAATTAACGAAGTCGTCATAACTCAAGTAAGGAATTTTAAATAATCACTTTTCTTTGAATCGAAAACTTGAATTAGGTACACCTGTCGTCTAAACAATAATCTTTTATTGTCTCAGTACAATGAAGGAATAGGTGTGAGCAAATAAATATTCATTTTCATTCAGTTATTGAGAAAATTTGACAAAAATCATTGCAAGTAAATTACGAATTATGAGAATTAATTACGTGATCTACCATTTCGGTACCTATATTTCAAACTTTCTAAGTATGCAATTTTTAGAATGTCAAAGATGACATTTATGCTGAGGTCGATTACCTCTAGCCATAGTTACTAAAATTAAGTTTATATAAAAATCAAAATTAATGATCAACTCATATATCACTTTCATATATTTTCATATTCCAAAATTTGAATGATTTTTCCTCGCATGTGGTTTACAGATTCACAATGCAATAACTTCATATCTTGCAAAATGGATATTAGGTAGAGAAATTCATTATTTTAAGTCTTCCTTTTCTTTTCTATTACAAGAGATTAGCAATAGTGTAATAACCAACGTAAAACAAGAGTAAATAAATTTATTGTCTTTTCTAAAGATAGCATAAAAGTATTCAGTATTGTGACTATATTGTATTTAAATAAAAAATGAGAATGATCTACTATAAATCTCGAGGAAATTAATTATTCTGATTATTCCTTGAATAAAATGATGTCGTTATTTGGACGAAGAATCTGAGAATTATATCGGTCCTTTCCAAATTGGAATTATTTCTGACTAATGAGAAGAATCTTAATTATACAGACTTCAAAAAATTTGAACATATTGACGTAACTTAGACCGGAAATTGGCAAACGACTAACACTTACATAAATTGAAGTTGAATTTATATTTGACCAGTGTTACAAGGGTATGACTTATTAATTCTCGTGCAGTACAGGTTTCGACATAGCAAGCGGACGTCATTAAGAAAAAATAATTAATAATCATATTTTTTATATGCTAGATACCAAATCTAAGACTAATGAATTTTACTAAGGTAATAAAATTTTCATAACTTGCTTTGTTTACCATTGCTTCTAGTACAATGTTTTCAAATTATGTTTTGTCCTATACCTACCTTAAAAACTTTTTAATTAGTGTAATAAGTTAAAAATCGATTGGATATGTAGCAAAATTACGCCATCCATATTTACAGTATCGTAAAATCAACAATCATTCAATTTCCAATTCGCACTATTGATAAAACGTACCCCGACAGATTCTATGAATACGAATGTCTATATATGTTTCTTATCGAATTTATTTTGCTGCAAGAAAAAGCAAGCAAACTTACGGGTAATAGATTATGCATTGTACAAGCTTCATTTTAATAGCATTTATAATTATGACTTGCACATGCTAGTGATTAAAGAGATATTACTACTTCTTGGAACAGATACATTTGTGGGTAACTTCTAACTGCCAATTGGAATCAACTT